AAAATCGTACTTTGATAATATGTGCATTGTCCTTGAAACTGATTGGTCCACACCAGAGACGAACGGTGTTAGACCAGAGGACGCCAAAAAGGCGTCCTCTGGTATAACACCGTTTGAGACGAGGCTCAAAAGAAAGCTATCTGTGGTGTGGACCAATTAGTTTCAAGGACAATGCATATTATCAGTGTGTTTTTTGTTTGCATTCTGACCACAAGCAAAAGGGGAAAAACCTATTATCATATTTTGGTACTGGCAAAGAAGGTCCCCATGATGATGCCGCCGTTGTCTTATAGTTATCACGCTGCACTTGGAATCCAGAGGTCACTGGTTCAATCTACTGGCGTAGCAGTTGAAACTGGGAAGGTTTCTTAATGCATGTCCACCCAGCAGTGTAAATGTGTGCAGCAGAGTCGATCGGCCGCTCCTGTGTGATGGGGTAAGGTATGGGACATGCTTCTTCCAAGCGGGCTGTATCGCGTGGAATCGTCGGCCAAAAAACCTTCAGGGCTGCACATTTCCTTTTTGTCATTGAGGATGAGACTGTCAGTCATCTTAGATATACATGGTTTATCTTTGAACGTTATGGACATGCAGTTCAAGTCTTGATTTGAAGCTTTCGTGACTGCAGGAATCCATCAAAATAATCTATCTACGTGACTTTACCGAAATAACCAGAGTATGCAGTTTAAGATTTAAAATAGCAAAGATTAATAAGCCGTTCATATTCCGAAATGTTTTTGCATGCATTTTTAAAATCTTATAATAAAGTTGGGTTCCATTTTTAGTCGTGCATATTTAAAAAGGAGTGTTGCAATGTGCAAATTAAAGTCGGTTTAAATATCCATAGTAGAGGTTTTTGGGTTGGATCGCGTAAATATATAAATGTGTTAAAACCCGCCACCACCCGATACAGCCAACTATAAGGGTTGTCACGTAAACAACATGCCAATTCGTCACTAGTACAGCACCGGTGTGTTGGAGAGCCAAGCCACAACATTTAGAATCTGAGTACGACGTTTCGCCAGTAATTACCACTAGCTTCATCAGGCGACAGCCAGATTTGTGAAGAAGTCTTACTGTTTCGTTCCTTAGAGGCGTAGATGTGACCACGCGAAAAACACATTTAAGCGATCTAACCCAAAAACCTCATGGATGACATTGGTCGCGAAAGCCTACGTGTTAAACGGTTTAAATGTCTTAATAGTTCTAGATTTGAAGCTTTCGTGACTGCAAGGATTCATATTCTTAGGTTTTTTCGGTAAAGTCACGTAGGTAAAAAAATAAAATTAATAAAAGTAAAAATAATTAATTTTAATTTTTTACCTACGTGACTTTACCGAAAAAACCTAAGAATATGTCTTAATAGTATACATCATTAGCCATGATATATCCACTGCTGGATAAAGGCCTCCCCAAGCCACCACTACAGTCCTGTGATGTAATGATCCACTTGGCATCTGCACATTAACTGGTTTTATTGCTCTATATCTGCAGTATACGGCCTCTTGGATGTGTTTCACTCCTCGGCTGCCACTCCTTTATTATTATTTGCCATTGGTCATCACATCTTGCGACATTTGATGCCCAAACCCAATTTTCTGAACCGATTAAATTGTGCCATTAACCTGCATATATTTTCTACCATGTATTCCTCATGTCTGTGTATATATACAATTCTATAACGCGGTGGTAGAATCACAAAGGTAAAATGCACTCCAGTTCCCACAGATTCTGGGTTTCGATTTAAAGCTTTCGTGACTGCAGGGATTCATCTTCTTGGTTCTTTCGGTAAAGTCACGTAGAAGGGAAGTAATAAAATAATAAAAATAAAACATAATAAAATAATTCTCACGACGTTTCGGCTACAACGCAAGCAAAATAACCAAGAAGAAGATTCTGGGTTCATTTGATGGACTAAGAACCAACAACAACGTACGTCCTGATAGCCAAATGGCGTATTGATTGCTTCTTGTGTCTGGTCCTGCAAGCATCCCCTTTTGTCGCGTTGATAAAACCCAGCAAATGTTGACTGTTTAGCCAATAGTGCACATTCTGGGTGGATTGTTCGGTGCCGCCGTCCCACTGAAGCTGGAAGAGGTGCTCTGGCATTGTTAGCGGTGCTGAAAGTGGCTTGGTGTTCGTCGATGCACGACTGCTGCCTTGTAAAGCTGAAAATGTCTCAGTGGCACTCTGCCACTCTTCTTTCTTGACAAGGCAAGGCTTTGGATTTAGCTTCCAGAGCGATGCGTTCTTTCATGTGGTGCATGGGAAAATGCGGATCAATAATAGCCACGCACTTATATTTACTTAAATCTTTTGATGGTCATTGAATCAAGTATCGTAAAAGGTTCATTCCAAACGTGTTTGAAATGTAACATTTCGATGCTCTATACAGTATTATGTACAAAACATTTGTTTAATGAATGCAATTATTATTTGGTGAGCAAGCTACAGTAGTTGAATCGTTCATTGTTGTCTTCTTCGGGTGGAGCGGTGGCACAGTGGTTAGCACAATGCGATGTGAACCCCGGCCAGATACCCAAGTTCAATTACCAGCCACGGCTAACATCAGTGGAGAGTTACATCTGAACCGGTACTGCTTGCTTCGCAACCCCTCTTCATCAACTCACGTTGACTCGCATGGTGAAAAGTATGGTGGGAAAAAAACACGTGGTGTTGGAAGGCATACATCATCAAGCAGTGGATTGCAAATGACTACGCGATATATTGTTTCTTGCCTAATTGCATCATTGAGCTGTGATTGATTGTGAATGTGGCGGCGTGTATGGCGTCCATTTACATATAGAGCAAAAACGGGGAAATGTTGGGAATTAGATCCCACTGCGGTTTCTAGAAAGATTAGATATTGCATGCAAACATTATCTTTCATATGGCCATTCTGCTATCACTGTTGTACTTCAATGAATATAAATTAATTTGCACTTCGAATGTACATAAGGGATGTGACCAATGATAAAAGTGTACACACAAGTTTTTAATAGTCCACTCCCTCATAGTGTGCACAACCACATTAATTGAATGCAGTAGGCAGATAAATGCAATGTACACATGAAAATTGCATGAACCCAGTTTTTTTTATATTAATTACAGTACTGTACAGCATTCCATCGTTTTTCACAAATCACATCAGGAACTCTACACGACTGTATCGAGAGAGAAAGTGATTAGATGTTTATTATAATGTATTTATGAAGGCAATTCAAAAGGCCAATATCACCTGCGAAATGTGCTAATTACGAACATCTCGGGAACGTGTCCATCGCGAATAATGGGTGCAATCCAAAGGGCTTAGTATGAGAGTGCAATCCAAAGGACATGTGAGCATGAGAGTGCAATCAAAGGCATGAGAGTGCAATGCAAAGGACATGTGAGCATGAGAGATCTAAGAGAGAGGCATAGAGAGAGAGACAGAGTCGGAAATAACAGCTGACATCGGCAGGTAGGATGAAAACATCACAGTCAGTTAAGACTTTACCTGGTTAATAACGTCCTTCCAATGATTGCTCAGTTTGTCCCCTTCCTCGGTTGAAGTTGTGTCTGTGTTTATATATCTGCATGGCTTTATGAACAAATCTCTGAAGGTAGCCGGTAGGTTTACAGAGTACCTCCGTCTTGGAAAAATCTATTTCGTGTGAGCCCACAGCGTTAAAACAATGATCGACAATGGTAGAGGGATTGGTCCTACCGTGTCTCAGATCTGCGGATTGGTCAGAGTATCTGTTCATCCTGAGGGCTTGATGTACGTGCTCCAACTCACTGGCTAGGTGGTGCTGGTCGGAGATGCAACGGGCCCTATGGTGTAGTGTTTTGATGAGGGAATTCTGGGCTGGATGGTGGTGGGAATCAGGCTTTAGATAGGCATCCGTGTGGGTGGCTTTCCTGTAGACAATGTCCCAACGAGCCATCAGGTCTCTTCTCGATCAAAACATCCAGGAATGGTAGCTTGCCGTCCTTTTCCACTTCCATTGTGAATTTGATAGACGGGTGTATGGAATTGATGTGGTTGAAACATTGGTTCAGTGCTGGCAGGCCATGTGGCCAGATGACGAACGTGTCATCCACGTATCTCTTCCACAAGGAAGGACGTAGGGTGGATGTCTGGATGGCATCTGTCTCAAATTTATCCATGAAAATATTCGCTATCACTGGCGATAATGGAGAACCCATTGGGGTACCCTCATTTTGTTTGTAGAATGTACCATTCCAGGTGAAGTATGTGTTGGTAAGGCAGTGCCTTACCAAAGTTGGTACATCTGAATTCAGTCCTTGTTGGATCAAGTCTTCAATGATTGCAATGGTGCCAGATACAGGTACATTGGTGAACATAGAGACTACATCGAAACTGACAAGCAAATCATCTGGAGACAGTGAGATGTCCTTGATTAGAGAAGCCAAGTGAGCTGAGTTAAGTACAGCTGAGGTGGACTTGCCCGTGAAAGGGAGCAGGGTCTCGGAAAGAAATCGGGCCAGTTTGTAGGTGGGTGAGTTAATGGTGGAGACGATAGGACGGAGCGGGGTACCTACTTTGTGTATTACGTTTGTTTCATAGCAAGTGCCACGTAATAATATATATGAAATGTACTCTTTAAATGTCTGAATTAGTACTTCGCGATCTTTAAAGTGAAAGCATTCCCATACTCCAAGGAGTCTTAGCTTTAGTCTAATCTTGGTGACAATATTTTTGCAGAAATGTTTAATACTTGTTGCAGAGGCCAGTTGGCCGGTTTCATAAAATGCCTCCAGTGAAATTTCCCGTGAGTTCACACTGGTATACATTGCAAACTCCGGGGTATATAATCACGAAATATATTGAAGAAAAATGACATGTGTTTGTGGAATCGGCATGGATTCCTCAGAGGTATTGATTCGTTGCAGATGAAGGGAGAAACAAAAATGCTTTAATCTGTTTTAAGCAATGCCACAGAAAACACGCTTTCAGTTTTCACCAAATAATATAAAAATGACAAAAAAATGTTGACCATTCATATTGGTATTTAATATTTATTAAAATCAGCATGTAATGTACAACATTCAATGCAAAAAATTGGCAATATTAATTTTTTCCCACAAACCTCACGAGCAAAAAATATATACTGTATGTAGGAGAATGTTTGCACATATGGTGTTGCGATAATTTATTTTGCTTCAACTGATAACCTCATTTGCTCTGTCTGGCACTGTGAACCATTGCATCAGTTGATGTGTATGGAAATTACAGATCTTAAGATATTTTAAAATATCACACAAGTCACCACGTTTATAATTAATGCTGCCTTGCAACATAAAAACATATCAATTTGAAAATATCAAGTACTAGCCCTTAAGACATCACACGTTATAGTATTGTATCTTAACCCAGGTGAAGAAAGTTGACATGGACATTTAAAAAAAGATCTAAGGTAAAAACGTAAAGATGCAGTCCTGGCATTACTGCTCATGCCACTGCTGGCAGGCGGGCCTCCACTAGAGGGAGCTCTAGAGTGCTGCTCTGAGATAACTGGTCGACACCTCCATCATAAAACAAACATGTTGGAAGAGCTTTAAACAGATGAGGACCAAACATCCACAGTCCAAGATGAAACAAGCTGGTGTAAATTGAAATTATGGACCAATTTGCATAATTATATCATATTGCCAGAGTGGCAGAGGTATATATTGCCTTTGAGTCCATTGTGAAGCCACTTTGTAGATAAAACCACGAGCTAAAATAGGCAAGGCCCACAGATGGCGCTTTTTCAGAAGCGACCTGGCCACAAATGATAGCTCAACGAAGTGGCTTATCATGTGGAAATGTATAGCAGCCAAATACTCTAAACGCACGTGTCTAAATGTGGAGAGAAAAACCGGAGGACCTGGAGAAAAGTTCACACGACCACATGCAGACGTCGGGGTTGGGATCGAACCCACGCCCTCCTGGACACCAAGACTCATTGCAAATACATTTTTCTACAAAATCTATATTGGTAAAGCTTCACAGGTTAAAACCAGCGTATCTTTAAAACCATACACATGCATTATACCTATACAGGCCAGGAAGAAAAAAACATTTCAATTCAGTTTACCCAAGTCATCTTAATTGAAGATAGGCTCCTAAATTTCTCCTGGAAGTTCACGCCGACCTGCAGAGAATTAAACAAAAAACACAACACTCCCAAGCTCGTCACATTAGACACCAACTGAGACCGTTTCTAAAGCCATCGCGTTACTTCTCTGTCGCTTAATTTTAGTTTGAGCCGTTTTAAAATCTTTTTCTAAATTAATTCTCAAGTAATGAACCTGGATAATCTTCATAGCAGCCAATGTATTCATGTAACTTTTTCAGATGTTTTCCAACAGAGAGTGGGGGGGGGGGACGTGATGCTTCTCACGAGTCTCCCGCAGCCAAATGTATGTACAGGCACCTCGCAGTCCCCCCTGATCATCACCGAGTCTGTACATGCGAACGTCCGGTGATATAACTGGTCAAGGAGCAGATGCTGTCCCCGTAGGTGCAGTATGCTGGGCCCACCGGCGTGTGGACATGTCCTGACACTCAGCAACAGCTCCCTCTGCTCTGATGTTAAAGGAGCAGCTGGGTAGTTGGCTCAAGAGAACCCAACATGAAGTCTCCCAGCTAACTACCCTGGCCTCCTGGCAAGAGACCAGGGGAATATAGCTGCCAAGAATTCCCCATGAGTGACACTACCAAGTACGTATTCATACCGCATCGCTCGTCGCGTGGGTTAATAAGGAGCACGCAGCCTGGTTTTTTCACCGGCCAGCTGTGACAAGTGTGCTACGGTGGACATGACCGAAAACCTCAAACTACGCAAACTATCTCGCATCGGCACCTGGAAGATCACAACCCTCTGCCAACCAGGTGCAATACACACACACACGTCAAAGAACTTGAGAGGGTGAAAATCCGTATCATGGACCTCCAGGAGGTACGTTGGTGTGGCGCTGGTGAAACCACTGGAGGAAACCACCATCCTGTGGTCGGGGCCTTCTGATGGTTCCCCCTCTACTTGCTGGGGTGGCTATTGCCCTTGAACCGACAGCCAAGTCAGCCCTATTAGAATGGCACCCTGTCGATGGCTAGAATCAGGCACAACCCTAGGCGATTTATCCATTGCCGTGGCATACGCACCAATGAACGAAGCACCCGACAACATCAAATTCCACTCCTACCAGCCTTTGGAACAGTCTGGAAACTTAACAAAACGACCGGACCTCATTATGTACCTCAGAGATTTCAATGCAGTCTCTGGCACTTTAGAGATTAACTCCAGATGGCAAGCTATGATAAATTGCAGAGTTTACTCGAGCTTGGAGTTCGACACAGATCATTGCCCAGTTATCGCAACCATCAGAATCAGACTAAAACGATTGCCGAGCAAGAAATTGCGAGTCTCCCCGATACTTAAAAAAAAACTGTCAGACCTGGCATTTGAACAGCAATTCAAGTGATTTCCCTCAATTTTTCTAGCAAGTCAAAAATACACTTTCAGAAGTGTGCTGCATGGAACAGGGTGGCTTGACACCCAGATGTTCCACCGTAGACTGCATCATCACATTGACCTCTCATACAAATAAGTGGAGTTTCGGTGTCCGTTCTGGGTAGCCTATGTATATCTCAAAGCTGCTTTTGACTCTGTCGACCGCAAAGCTCTTTGGATGTTCCTCACAAACATTGGATTAACGCAGATTGTGAATCTGAAGGAGCTCTACACAAACACAATCAGTTGTGTTCGTGTAGACGGAAAGTTGTCCATGTGGTTCAGCATCCAAAGTGGCGAAAGGCAAGGCTGCACCTGTTCCTTGCCCCACCAGATTGGATGCTGCAGTGCATGGTCCACAAGAGCTCAAGTTATTTATATTGTCAATCTCAGGGGGGAGGTGTGCGATGAAGAATGCCTGTATCTTTTTGACGTACAATTATCTGCACGTTGGCACAGGCCAGGAGGAAGGAAAGCGCTATCCTGTGTTCATTTTAGAAGGTTGTGTGGGAACTGACAATTCTTGGGGAAATACCATATTTATGTAAATACGAAATACTCAGTTCACCTAGCCCACCATAACATCTGCACAAGAAAACTTTTCAATACAATATAAAAAGGGTCTGGTCAAACTTTTGTGGAAAGTCTTACATCCATAGGAATTTGGCTGAGTTTCTAAAATGGGTCTCCCAAGAAATGGTTTCCTTCTAGACCAGCAATCGTATAGGTTCTGAAGGCCGTCCTGGAAGTTAAAATGTCTTTTATTTGCCCCATCACATTGGCTTTAATGTCCTCGTCTTCAACATGAGTTCCTTCCACGGCGAGTTTTGTGAAGCACGTTCACTGCGTAAGCTGTGAATTAACTTGGTTTAGGGGTTTGGATGACAACTACCCCATTTAACACACATTTCATGTTGCATCATTGTTCCTTGTACATTCTAACTGACAAGGCGCTTAATGCACAGACAGATCCTGCTTGTGCGATTGCCTTGCTTGAATTACTTGAATCTGTGTACACACAAAATTGCAGAGAGAGGAGCATGCATTACCGTAGGTCAGTGACAACACGAAGCTCATTATGTCTTTAATTGTAATAAAGCAATTACGTAAACTCTTTGACTAGAGCTCGTACTTGTACATACAGTAAGTATAATGATGTGTATATGCTATACAAAACATTCAAATGTGTAAGGAGGTGGGCAAGTGTATCCTGCATGTTGATGTATTTACGAGTTCCACAACAACAACACAACTAAACGGTTTGCTTTATGCTCAGCAGTCTAAGTAATTTAACTAAATGCAAGACACATATTCAACCCTGTGGGATGAAGACTACGCAGCTTTTCCGAGGCTCGTTTCTACCTTAAATCAGAGTTGACACCTGACATGTGATATGTCCGCGAGGCAAGCTGACCAGAGGTGTTGGGCAGAATGTGGCGAAATGTATTGTTTGATCCGTGCTTGAACACCCGTGCCACCAATGCAGCAGCTCAAATTTTCTGTGATATTTTTGACAGCCATTTTGCATGGGCAACCATTGCTTTAAGGCAATGTCCAAGACAATGTATACGAACCGTACATATAGATAAGTGAACATCCCATTCTGAGTGCGTTTAGTCATATTTTTGTATCACTATTACTATCACCTCCGACTTCATTGTCACCACTATATCACAATCATCGCTAAGTTCATCACCATTATCATAAACATGATTTGCTTGCACTATAATCACCACACTTATGGTAATGGTCACCACAAAAGCAACAACCAACATGAGTATCAATGCCAAAAATATCACCACTATTATTAGAACACTGTCACAATCATCACCACCACTATCAGTCATAATCAGGACCACTGCCATCATCACTATCAGTACTTTCACCATTAGAATGACTCTTACTTTCACAACTGCCATTGCCACTATAAACATTCCATTACCATGACAGCCACCACTGTGATTACCAACACCACCATATTCACCTTTACCATTATATTCTTGGTTCTTTTGGTAGTCACGTAGATTAGAAAATAAAGACTGCTTGTGTTGCGATCAAACGTCTTGGGTTTTTTGCTTTAATTATTTAAAATTTTATAATTTTTATTATTTTATTCTATTTTCTATCTACGTGACTTTATCGAAAGAACCAAGAATATTAATTCCTGCAGTCACGAAAGTTTTAAGTAAAAACTATCATTATCACAACCACCATAACTTATGTATGTTGAATGTATTTTACACTGCACGTAGCCAACTGTGCTAATCGGAGGTGCAGTGGAAGGACAAACTGAACACAAAAATCAGTTCTTAACAAATGAGTTTTCTATCTAGATTTAAAAATGCATCACTCCAGTGGCTTCCTAATATCGGATGCTACCATCACTGCAACCATCACCACCATCATTTCTATTTAGGATGGAAATGTGCATTGATTCATGGACGAATATCAATGTTGAAGCTCACGATACACGTATTGCATCAAGTGTGTAAGAATTGATGTTCCATTTGTGAATGTTGCATGTTTTGTCATGAGTTAATGTAATTAGAGGAACCTTGGAAGTCATAGATTGTGATGTCACCGGTATAATCTCAAGTTATGAACACTTACTTAAGAGTCTCCTTCAGGCTTGCAGTACGTGGATGAGTTTGACACAGTGATGCGATACTGCGAGAGCACTGCTTTGGTCAGCGACAAAGCCACTAGCCGGTGCCCTGGTAATGGGCCGCATGCTGCCCATGGATGCAGAAAGTTTGTCTTGAGCTTTTATGTTCACCAGCACCTACAGTAAATGCACGTGCAGTTACATTTGGTATCAAAACACACAAACATTTGGCGATTCATATTTAAGTATGGCCCATATTAAAGTGACTTGCCATTTTACTCATCACAAATCTGTAAACACTAGATTTATCAATCCAGGATTTGTGTAAAGTAGAGTTCTTACCTGTTCTATGGGATATGTTTGATGTATTTTCAGGTTATTGAATATACTATTCCTAATAATAATTGAGAGCCCACTGATAGATGAAGGCCTCCCGATGCTGTGTTAGCCATCGGAGTTGTCTGACTATACTTCACCACAATGGTCAGCAAGAGTTGGTAAAGAGATACAATTTATGTAAAGAGATCAATTTCAGACTCTAAACAAAGAAAAAAAACCTACACTACTTTACCACCCTCATCAATGATGAAAACTGAAACACAGAGGTTACATGCCTGTAATTTCTGTACACGCAATATTATTCAAGGCTTTACTGCCCAGATACGTTTTCTCAATTGGACCCTCTTCTATATTTAAACATAAGTCAGTAATTGTCATTGGAAACGGCAAAGAAGAATAAAGGAAAATTTCCACAATCTGATAACGGTTCTTGAAAACAGACCTCTCGGAGCTTCTGGCTTCTGCTCATGCTGCGCAACGCGACGAGAGCAGCCTCCCGCACAGATAGGTGGACGTCATCACAGGCCAGCGACACCAACTGCTGGGGCGCCCGGCAGGACACCAGCTGTTCGCGTAGTCCCTCCACGGCTCCCAGATTCCCCAGCGCGGCTGCAGCATTGCAACGTATTCTCACCAGGGGGTCCTCGCACCGTCACACAGTGGACATGGACGTTAGCTTTTGCTTTCGTTTACAGATGTTAAAAGATGCAGTGTTAGAGAGGCCTTAGCTATATTATGTCCCGATGATTTATAATGTCTGTCCATCCATCTATCCATCGATTTCCCATGAACAGAATAACGACAAGGTTGTTGGGACACTGTATGAGCAACTGTGGTGCTGATCTCTCTCCATCTTGCCTTCAACCTCCGTCGTGGTGTAAATGCCCATCCATTCTCCTGTATGCTGAATCCAAGTCAGGCTCGGGTGTGATATTTTTTATAGTCCCCTCAATAATGCCTTAGAGGATGGGTTTTGAATAGTTTTGCTGACTCTATTCACATGCCTAAAAGCCCTTCAGTTTTCTTTGTTTAATGGCAGCAAGCTAAATCGTTCTGTCTGTCGTGATTCGGTGGTAATTATGCCAAATACACATTGTTAGTTATGTGTGCTGTCTACGGGATTTATAGTAACATGACATATAATGGGCTATCACAAGGCTCAAAGATGTGATATTTTTAAGTCTTGCCGAACCACCTGCAGCAGTCTGGTGATGTGGGGCACAGTTGGAGCCAGAGCTGACGCATCCAGCCCTGCTCCGTGGTAAGCAGCATTCCCCAATGCCAGGCTGGCCGAGCGCCGCACTCCATCCTCGCCGTCCGCCAGACAAGCCGTGAGCTGTGACAGAACATCACTGCCGCCCACCGCCAGGCTCCCACACGGCGCCGCAGAGTGGCGCAGCAGGTTACCAACGAGGCCGCATGCTTGTGCACGCACCGTGCTCCTCTCGTGGCTCAGCACGCGGAGCAGCAAGCTGAAACCAGACTAAACAGCCATACGGTGACAACCTCTTACAGTCCCCGCATGATGATGTATGCACAGAGTGAAAGGTACATTGCTTGCTCAGGCCCCTGCCTTGTAATTGCTTGTTTACATCCCTGGTGGTGGAAATGCCTCCGGGAGCTTCCCCATCAGAGAGTACTTTGGCCTATGCTTCACCGCTGGCCAAACGTCTTGGATGATGTTGGGAGTAAACATGCACTACTCCACCATACGTGACCTGCAGATTGAGGATCTGTGGTGTACCCATTTATACTGCTGGGTGGGCAGAGATGGGAGGCTTTAAGACATTTCTCATTGTGCCATTGTGATGCACAGAAGAGTGAACATAATTCACACCTGGGAATTTAGATTTACACAAAGCCAAGGCATATTTGACAATAGCCTTCTCAAAAAGATAAACTTATATATGGTACAAATCTGTGATTCAGGACATGCAGTTGGTGGATTACACGGAGTATGGTTGTGTAAGACACCAGCGGGCATAAGTGGTGGGTTGCCTGTAAGAGACGGTATACAAAGACCCATCTGTGTATAGGCAGAGCCAAATATCACAGGCTGCACCCTTCTGAAAAATAATCCTCAAGACTGTGTAAAAATGCAATTACACCAAATGCCATGTTCATCAAATATCAAGAACTGCAATGAACCAACAATTACCTAAACACCACATGCATATGAGTGTCATTGATATGTTTTTACCTCAAAGTGATATATTATCATCTGCACATAATTGTTAAATACGTTATTTGTTTTAACAATCACAGATATATATTACGACAGTGCTGGAATAATTTTATTTCCTGTAAAGTTACTGCATTAAGTTTATATTGAGTTTGTTAAGCTTTATGTTTTCTTACCATTTGTGACAAAGAACCAGTAGACAATTCATTTCCAGAAAACAATTTAAGGAGCCGGTCAACACACTCCGGTGTTGTTCTGTTAAAAGACATTGCAGACAAGGATTACAGAACCCTTCTAAATACCCACGTAAAAATCATCACTGATATGCAACTATTTAAACCAATGTTTGCTCTACTTTTTTTATGCAATCATAATAAATGCTGTAACTCAAAAGTGGTAACTTTACCTCCCTATAAACAGATAAAATATGTATAAGATTTACATGTAGGCTAAAATATACTACACATTTCCCAAACCATTTATGAAAATATAAAAGCATTACCTCAGGTCAGAAAATGTAATTTTTTTAGTAACGTCAACAGTTAGTCTCAAATCGACTACCTCATATTCGTTCACTCAAAAATAAAATAATGCAAACTAAACCCATCAATAAAACATTTGCAAAAATTGTGATAAAAATACTCCAGGAGATTTCCGTTTGGTATTTGTCATGATTTTAAATAGTAATAAAAGAGAAAGCATGCTTGCTCTGTGCCAGTGTATACTGTCAAAAAAAAAGTTATTCTTACTGCAAAGGGATATGTTTTTTGCCCAATTTAAAACAAGTCGTTTAGTGGTGTACAAAAATGTACACGTTTTCAAGCCGGCACTTTTGTGGGTTTCTAATGAGTGCGCCCTTACCGTGCAACATGACTGAATATTGAGAGGACGTCAACAAGCGTAGCAGGAGGGCAAGAAGGCGATGCCAGAAGGCGAGACAAATATTTTGCAGTCTCCTGTTCACTCATTAACCTCACAAACTCTGTCAAAAATCCAGCATTACTGAGCACAAGTCGAGATACTAGTCCTAGAGGAACCTCCAATTGCTTCTCCGACAGCTGGTGCACGCACACCTGCAATGGTTACAAGATTTGATTACATGAAATGCCTTATGGTGATTATAGTAAAAAAATTAAGTTGAAGAAACTCTTCCAAATATGCAATAAACAAGCATCGGCTGCTGTTTGTAAATGCTGTGCTTTAAAAATAAATGCAACTTACAAATGAATTATATTCCCACGATTTTGGCTAAGATTATTTTGTAACTACATTCGCAATTGTAAGGTAAGAAAATACATACACAAAATAATATTTTTCTCAAAAAACAATGGCAACAATGGAAGCTTAAAAAAAGTCACCGAAAAATATGCAAGACCTAACGTGATGTGAATGATGTACCTGCATCAGGCGAGTTAGAATTTGTGTGTCACGCAGCATGGTCAGAACATCCGTGAGCATTGCGTCTTCCACGTCCATTGCAAAAGGGAAACAGAGGATTTGGCAGGTGAGCAGCACCACTGATCCAACAAGTGAGCTCAAACTCAGATCGTATTGGTCCTTTACTTCTGGGCTGAAGGGACAAATATGGAGAAACAGCTGTTTCGTTCGGTCATTAATTTCACATATTAAGCCAGAGGATTGCATGGTCTGTTGTGTGAGAGTATACTAATGCACCTTAAACATGTTTTTTTAAATCTGCAAAGTACCTTCTGCTGTGCCAAGCCTACATCTGCAGTTAAATTTGAAATGCAATTTGCAGGTGAGGTCTGACATGACTGTTAGGCATGGAGCAGTGATTGATTAATTGATTGAAATGTGTTAAAATGAATACATGCGTGGAACCACAAAAATAATGTTAACATTTCGCATTTAGGCTGATGGGGAAAACAAACTATACAAAGGTGATATAAAACACCAATAAATTAACATGACATTTTTGTTTTTATAATTGCATCGAATTGTGACCTCAAACGGTGGCAAGTCACGTGGTTATATACCTAATGGATATCGAGGCACGTGGCTCAATTAAACACGTGAGCACATATGAATCGATGATGTGCAATTAAATGTAAATTATATATGCTACTTAATGAAATTATAATAAATCCTGTTTACTCATCATAGCCTTAATATGATGTAATACATAATCTGTATCCTAAAACAACTTGGGGATGAGGCAGAGGTGATATAATTTGCATTGGCAAGCTAAGTGGTATAACACGTACCTGCTGAGATGAATAAGGAAATCCTGAGTAAGAAGCTTGAGCAGTACGGCCGCCACCACAGAATTGGACCGAGAGAGCAGGATAATGCAGTGCTGTGGCTCTTGAGCAAAAACAAACTGTGCCAAATTCAACAAGGCCAATGTCCCTGAATGGCAGAAGTTAACACTGGTAAATGCAAGATTATTGAGAAACCCGAGCATGTCTGCATATTCACCGAGATGAAAATAAAATGAAAAATATGCATATTTCCATGAAAGAACAAAGACTAAACAAAATAACATTTATTTCAGAATTTTGACACAATGGGTAAATACTTTTTTTTTTTTTATAATTTTCCTAACTGATATAAAACAAACCTTGCAAGATTAAAATATTAAACATAGATTTTTTTTTTTTAGATGGCAGAATTTTTTTAGAAAGTGTCCATTTATACAAATATTAATTTAATATATGGAGAAGAGCATGGCAAAGAATGCCTACCAAATTAGTTATTCATATTTAAAAAGTACTTTAATCTGAGCACTAAACATATACATTATGGTATATAACAACCAGGTTGTGGTATGTGTACTTTAACATCTCTGAAATTCATATTTTTCTCAATGACAGAATACAAATAGTAGCTCTGCATATTAGGCATGTAAAATTTCCTCCCTCAAGACACGATAAGGTAAACAAAAACAGCCAGGATTGTGGAGAATATTCAACCACACTACAACATGCTGATGAGTGCAGGTTGAAGTCGGGGAATACAGATGTGGAAGGACAAGAGTACAGAATAAAGGCCTTTGCTGCACTGCCCTATGCTGACCACTACATAGCCACGCAGTAGCCTATGACAACGTCTCTGTGTGTGTGTGGTGGTCCCACCATCCAAGCACTATCAAGGTTTAACTGCGCTTAGCTTCCGAAATCTGAAGAGAATGGATGCAATTCCAGGTGATATGGTCATTGGCATAAATATAATACAATGCATTAAGGTTAGTGCCATTGTATACCGATAGGAGAGATGAGGGTCCAGTCAGGAACCAAGCCTGGGGCATCTGATCGTGGCGTGTCACCTTCCATCACAGGGCCACACACTGAGAGATGCAGACCGACTGCCAATTGGTGCCACATCAGATTCCACACTTCAGTTTCCGCAAAGCCCTGCACCAACTCCCTCTCACCCTGGAACAAAATGCGTAAAAAAAAACACTGAATTGCTAAACAATTTTCAGAATCAGATATCACACATGTATAAACCATTACAGATTACTTTCTCTCTTTCAAAAAAAAGAGAAGAAAAATATGACTGGATAATAGAACTCTCCCAATGATATATTATACATTCAATATTTGGCAAACACTTTCAAGGGAAACCTAACAACACATATATAGCCAGACTAATTGCGCGAAAAATATGTGGTAGTTTGCCAAGCGAAGCAAAGGCATGCACTCTTTTTGTAACGCCCTCGGTCATTTTTTACCTCACAAAGGAACTGCAAGAGGAGCTGGAGGAGGCCGTCGCAGATTCCAAATCCGTACGGGAACCGTATAAAAAGCTGAAAGAAATTAACTTTTAGTTTATACATCTGTCCGACTTTAAGTAGTGTAAGCAATATTGTTTCCTCGCCAAAAAACTTTCTTTTTAAAAGCATTCATTTTTAATGTAGAGTGGATTATTAACTTCTAAAAGTAATAAATTCCAACCTCATAAACGTTAGTTTTATCCAATGTTAAGCTTGTGCATTATAATACATTATAATATTCACAATCAAAAAGCAACATATCTACTAACTCCACCATGCGCTCCTTCAGAATTACCAGGATACCAAAAGTATAATAAATGACTTGTGAGCTGCACATAAATATGTAGGAGATTGATCTCAAATCCCACCGTGTACCTCAATGTGGCTGGTTAGAGCAGCCTTGGAAGAGTTGAGTAAATCCTCAAAGTTGACTTCTGCAGCTGAGCCCAGGCTTGTCATCTGGGAAATTAGAATTCCTGTGGCACACTGTCAAATGTAGCATACCATGGTGTTGTGGTTTTAAAATACATCCACGTAATGTATTCCTACGTACGCAAGAAACAAACCAGTAACAGAGAATGTATGACTCTAAAAGTTATTTTAAAAAGAAAACCAATGTATTTTGTAAGAAAAAATGTTAGGCACTTTCAAAATTGTTCCACATTCCTACACATTTAAGACGAAACCAAAATACGTGGGAAAAAGTTCCAATGTAAAATAAATTATAGTTTTAAAGAATAATCCAAAAATGTTACAATATTTCATTTACTTTAATGTTGTATTATCATTGCATTGTTAAAAGAATTAGAAATTAAATGTTTCTTACAATGTGGGTGATCAATTGTGAATCAACAAATATTGAGCCAATATATTTCGCCATTTCTTCCAGCCTAAAAATCAACCAACAGTGATTTAAAAACAACAATTGGTTTATTTCACATCAATGGTTATGCAGTGAGGTATAAATTGCCCCCAATTTTATTCACTGTTGCCAGCATACAAAACCACTTACACCAGTTTGCATTGATCTTAATGCACACGATAACTGCAAGCATTTAAAAAATTACCAAATACTATGCAATTTCAACATTTAATAGAGAAAGGTAGCTTTAATTGTTCATGACATCGCAAACAATAAGCTTATGATTGAGCACCAACATGCTTAACATTTGTGTAGCTTTGGTCCCAATGCAATAATGCAGACATTACTGCCTCAATGCTTAACTAGCATGACTAAATTGTATTTTTTTTATTTTAATCACATTATAGTGAATTTTCAGCACACTAAAATTATAATACTAATAATAATGTGCAATGATACAAATACCAATGAATAACAATTGAATGATTACCAATCTATATCATTAAAATACCCTCCCGCTCCCCGCCTCAAATCACTGCACCTTATTGAATTAAATGATGACGTCACCCTGCTGCTGCTGCTCTATTTAAGACTGGGAGCAAGAGACCCTCACCATTCTGGCAAATTGCCCGATGAAGCTGGATGTAATTACCAGCGAAACGGCGTACTCAAATTTTAAATGATGTTGATTGGCTCTTCAACACACCGGTGGGCTAAAGAAGTGAATTATTTTGTCCTTTGCAAACGTGACACATTTTTTACTGTTTGGCCGTGTCGGGTGGTGGAGGGTTACGACACATTAATAAAGAACGCGATCTAACCCAAAAGCCTTTATTATGAATACAAATTATACTACAAGGCATTCCAATGATTTTCCTGCCATCTTGTCAGCTCTTATTCTGGCAGTCACTTGTGCTCTGTTGCAGAATATTTTTTTGCCACGCTCAACCACTGTGCTTGCAATGCACCAAGTAATTGGCTTGCCACACACAGAGTTTGGGAACCTCTACACAGCGGTACTTACTCTGGGGGAACTTGGCCCAGCTGTACGAGCAGCACAGTGAACAGATGCAGCACCAGCTCAAACGCCTGGCTGCTAACAATGTCGGTCAGTTCCATCTGTGCACAGCAATTATTCATATTTGTACAAGGGCAAAATGAAGACAAACCCAATACAATTGTAAAATAAATCTGTCGGCCAAATATTTAAAGTCAAAAGCAATAAAAGGAAATTCAAAAGAGCTATTATCTCCCGCTCAGCCCTCATCTGTTAACATGTAGAGGTAATTTTATATTGATATCACAATATGAGATTATTACGCGCACAAAATTTACTCATTCTCGAAGCGAGAAGACGACTCAAGAGGCAAGAGGAACCACAGGCAAACAGGAAGGCAGTCACGCGGTGAGCAAGCATCAACAACTGCACAAGCATTGCGGTTCTTTATAGAATGTGCTATTGGCCAATTAACGAGTGTTTACAAATGCAGTTTGTTATACAAATTATATTTAAAAATTACCGACCGCCATGACAGATCTAAAAAAGAACAAAGTGTACGTTTTTAACTGTACATAGAAGTCAGATACATTGGGGATGCGTTCCTGACAGGTATGACGAATATCGAAATTACATAAATCAGAGCAATTTACAAGGTAGGTGGAGGCGAAGGCTGAGGCGACAGATACGAGGAAGGACGATGCTGTCAGCGACGTAAGTGTGGGTTGAAGCGACACGAGTAGGGTAGTGGTATTAATAAAGTGACGAAGTATTTGTGAAATGATGTAAAAGTGAGGGATGTAAATCAGGGTACTACTGTATTACATAAAAACATTTCCAAGTTATTAATAATCGAGTATTTTTAAACAAAGAGAGTCTAAAATTATCCAAGGAACTCAGCTGTTTAAGGGTACCTTTCCTTGCAGAATATGCAATGTGGAAATGAAGAATTTGGGTGTATCAGCCAGCGCTTTACACATGGATCCACTCATTTGACAGCAAGAGTACAGCACCTAAGGAAGAGAGATCATAAAATATAAATGTAACAAATTCTCCTACAAACTGTATTATGATCTAATAATTCACTGCGTAACAATAAAAAAAAAAATGTTCCTGGGTAGTAATTGTTATTTCCTAATTGCTTATGCCTCAAAAGAACAGAAAATGGCTATTATACCCCACAAACTTTGCTTTTGTGACCAGGAAAGTGTTATTTTGAAATTTACCTATTTTCCAGAACATTCCAGATAAATTCAGTGCTGAGTAAACTTGGAGTAACTTAGAGAACATTCTAGAACTTTCCAGTAATATAAATAGTAGTATAAATACAGGGGCCTTAAGCCCACCAACTCAGTTTAGTTCCAGCTGCCTAAGTAGATACATATCTGCATTTTTCTGAGATGGCATCAAGAGGCTGCAAGCATCCGACAAACGCATTTTGCTATGTCTGCGGCCAATTTATTAGGACAAGAGCAAAAAAGTACTCTGTGGAAGCAGCTGCTAAGATGTGTGAGGCCGACAAGGCATATTTCGGCATGCCTGTCAGGGATCAAGACAAACCCTGGGCACAATTTCACCTGCGAGCAATGCAAAAAAACTCTGGAAAGGTAAAATTGTTACTCGGAATTTAATGTTTTAAAATTTGTAAAAACTTTTAAATTGTAAAAGTTTTAAATATTAAAATGTTTTAGAGTTTTCAATGTTATTGAAAAAATATATCATATATGAAAAATATTGTGGGAATCTCTTACACATTAGTCATGGGTGAAATAAATGTATTTTTGTAGGATGGTACAGAGGGGAAAAGAGAGCCATGAAGTTCGCTATCCTAAGAATTTGGCGGGAACCCACTGATCACTCAAGCAACTGCTACTTCTGCATGGTGGACCCTTACAAACGTCGAACCGGCGAGAATGCACCTGCTATCACGTATCCGGACCTTCCTTCATCCATGGCCCCAGTGCCACACTGCCATGAGCTCCCTGTACCCACTCCTCCGAAGAGAGGGCAGCCGTCTTTAGAAGAGAGCAGCAAGTCAGAGAGCGAGGAAGACGTAGATCCAGATGACAATTTCAGAAGTGGAGCTGAGGAGACAAACCTATACTACCCCAACCAAAAATACCTCAATGACTTGATCAGAGAGCTTGGTCTCACCAAGTCCAATGCCGAGCTTTTGACGTATAGGCTCAAGCAGCGGAACTTGTTGTATAAAAGTGTGCAAGTCGCAGATCAGAGGAAGCGTCACCAACCTTTTTGCAGCTTCTTCACCCGTCAAGATGGGCTCTGCTTCTGCCACAATGTGACCAGTCTGTTAGAGGTAATTGGAATCGCCTGTAACCAGAACGATTGGCGCCTCTTCATTGACAGCTCACCCAGGAGTCTCAAAGCCGTGCTGCTCCATAATGGTAACAAGTGCCCGTTTCTTCCCCTGGCTCACTCAGTGCACCTCAAAGAGGATTACAACAGCATCAAGACATTGCTGGACACCTTGAAGTATGATGAGTACGGCTGGGAGATCATTGGAGACTTAAAAATGGTGGCATTTCTGATGGGTCTCCAAGGTGGTTTAACCAAGTTTCCCTGCTATCTTTGCCTTTGGGACAGCAGGGACACCAAGGCACACTACCACAGGCGGGAACTGGCCACAGCGGACCGAGTTCTCTGTGGGGAGTAACAACGTCATGTGGGAGCCACTGGTGGACCCCTGGAAGGTGCTGATGCCACCACTGCACATCAAATTGAGCCTCATGAAACAATTTTTCAGAGCTGTAGATAAGCAGTCGGCAGCCTTCAAGTACCTCCAAGACTTCTTCCCTAAGCTGTCTGAGGCAAAGGTCAAAGCCAGTGTCTTCGTCGGACCACAGATAAAGAAGATCCTGGAGTGCAATGAATTCCCCAAGAAGCTCACTAGTAAGGAGAAAGCTGCTTGGAACAGCTTTGTCGTAGTGGTTCTTGGCTTCCTGGGCAATCACAAGGTCTAAAACTACGTGGAGCTGGTTGAGACTTTGGTGAAGAACATTGGGCTGTAGGATGTCCCTCAAAGTCCATATCCTTGATGCCCATCTTGATAAATTCAAGAAGATCATGGGGGCGTACTCAGAGGAGCAAGGCCAGCACTTCCACCAGGATATACTGGACTTTTAACGCCGCTACCAAGGACAGTATAATGAGAACATGATGGGAGACTACATTTGGGGGCTGATTCGTGAAAGTGATTTTCAGTGTAATCGTAAATCTCGAAAAACTACTCACTTCTAAATCTTTAGTAGTCATTTTTGTATTACTTTAGTATAAATATACATGTAAATTTAGATTCATGTTTTTTTTTCTGACTTTATGTGAATGAAAACACACATTCGCCCGTTTTCTCACTGAAAATAGGGAAATTTCAAAATATCACTGTCCTGGTCACGAAAGCAAAGTTTGTGGGGAATAATAGCCATTTTCTATACTTTTTTAGGCATAAGCAATTAGGAAATAACACTTACTACGGAGGAACAAAAATTGTGTTACATAGTGATATATATAATGGACACCGATAGAAAATGGAGAGAAAAACAAGTCTCTTTTTCACACAGAATGAACAGAAGGATATCCAGAAGTCATCTTAAGATAACCATATCCTACGTAAAAATAATTGTCTGTGAATGAAACAAATAATTATATATTAAATAATGTCCTAAATTCTACATTAGCATGTGATGAATCCAATTTCCATCTCATACAAATCATATGGAAATCAAACATCCTCTCTCTGGGTCTATCACCCTGGGTGGAATTGTACTTTAGAGGGTATTTATCAAAAGAGCAATTACAATGCTGGCAGTTTGGGATTGCACTAACCCGTAGAGCATTTGAGGCCTTCAGAGGATGGCTGAGGTCATTCACCAAGCCCTCTATCAGGTGATGCTGTGTTGGCTCCATCAGGCTCTCCACAATAAATTCTACCACCTGTTAAAGGAGATAGAAAAATACATGCATAAACATTGCTCAGGCAGCCTATATAAGTGACTGAAATACAATGACATGCAAATTCTAGAAGGGAAAAAAAGACTCTGACAGCATTGATTGATTATTACAGGGCTCATATAGGATGAATTATAAACGGAAACCATTATAAGACCACGTTGCCTCTACTGCCATCGACATATGCAATACAAATGTTTCATTTTGGACAGCATTTATTTAAAAGGTTGATTTAAAAAATAAGATGGTTAATAGGGTTTGATATATAATTTACTAAAATAATAGGTTTCGATTGTAACTAAATTCATAGCCATTAAACATATATTGCATTTGTATCCTTCACCAATTCTTTCCAAGTCACTGTTATCCATTTTTTAAGCCATTCAGAATAGTTGCGTAATAAAAACATTATTTGCCAAAAAACCACACATCTATATCCATTAAATACAACAAAGAATGTTGCAACCTATCAATCTAAAGCAGCACATTGTACAAGGGAATTTCGAAGGAATGCCCTACCTTGGTCTTGGCCACACAACATGGTTGGTTTTTAAGCGGAAAGTTCAGCAAAGCTGCCATAACAGCCATAAAGGCTCCAGAAACCTGGTCCAATCGAGCATGGGAAACTGCGGGTGCAGACAATTTATCACGTCACCACAACGTAGCCAAGACACGTATCAATACTACTATAATATGTTGCCCTGAAAGCAATTCATCCTACTTTTTTCCTTACATGACTTTTTATTGAACAGAAATAAAATGTTAGATATTCATTCATCGCAATGTCATGTCGTGAAACAAATGGCAAACACCCTCTTTTCAACATGACAATGTCAGACCACAACAATACCAGGTCATACGTGGGTGTGCTGCCCTCGCTCGCTACTACAGTTTAAATCTGGCAACCTCAGATTTTTAATCTGATTGACCCTTTGAAGGATAGCCGAGAAGAATAGCATTTACAAATTACACTGAATTTCGAATGTTGTTCACAAATGATTGCGATGCTCGTGAACCCTTCCACAGTGATGCAATTCTACCTGTGGTCACACTGTTGACACAAGTGCACAGAAAAGGATAGCGGCCTTGCTGAAAAAAGCCAGATAACCACATTCTAATGAATAACCAGTTAAGTAATTTTTTCATGTAATGAGAATACAAGGCATTTATGTTTGTGTATCCCTTATATTTTAATAATACCCCTCGCATTTAATAACAAATGCATTCTTACTGCCACTGTGTCAACTTGCGCTGTGAAACTAGGCAATATACAAATTTTAATTCAAATATTAATCCCACAACAATGGTATTTTTCAATATTTGGTTAAAAAAGTTTTTAATGAAGTGGTTGCATTGTAAAATACTAATAATATTTAGCATTCAAACTGCTGTTTATTGGAGAGTTGGTTTGCGATTCTTTGGAATGCGTATATGTTTGTGTATATATTATGTCCGTGTAAAATGGCAAACCTATTTTTTTCTGCACAGCTGGTTGAGTTTGAGTACTAAGCAGCAGAACCTGAATGAGAGCGGAGTTGTTGGAAAGCAAACTGGAGTAAAAATCTGCAGACACGGGTGATGAGTTTGCATCCATACCCTCGCACAGGTACACCAGGCACTATGTGTAGGGAGGAAAAAAAAATCAACAAAGGTTTCAGAATTAGACGGCCAATTTTACTTACTGAATTACCTGCATTGTATTAGCCTATACACTATGCCCTTGAGTTTTCAATTGAGTCAAGAGAATGATTATAGAGAAAGTCAATATAGATGCCTTTAAATCTATGTGACAGCAAAGAAAAGGCATATATCATATACAATTAGAGTAGAAATATTCGTACTAGCATGGCTTGTTCTGTGAGGCGAAGATCAGTGTCGATGGACTGATTCATCAGCTTCTGCAATATTTTAATGTACTCTTCAGCAGACTTTCCAAATCTCTCATAACTGCAACATAAGAGGATATCACGGAGGTTGAGGGAAAACAATACAAGTTAACGATTGCAAATGTAGCTTTAAATGTGCAAAATTAGCGAGAGAAAAAAAATCGTTTCTCCTTGACAAATCGAAAATAAAACATACAAAAATAGTATTCGTATTATCAACAAAACATTTACCATACTTTAAAGATACTTTAATAGTACTGTGGGTCTCCAACAAATACATGCCTGACAAGAAAACAATACTAAAGTAAAAATTACGTTTCGATTTTAAATAAAATTACGCCATAAACAGTTTACAATGAATGGAGTTCCTTCCAAATGACATGTGCAAAAAGGTTGAAGTGATATATTTTTTTAAACGGCTTACCTCTCTGAACATATATTTGGATTAGTGTTGAAATCACTGGCAAAGTAAGCAATGAGTAATGCGATTAGGTCTAATAGGACAGCTAGACACCAGGGTTGCTGGAAGATGATAGAAAACCATACATGAACAAATGCACAAATACAACACACGCATAATGCTCTTTTAATACTGCATGCATAAAACGGCAATTTATTTCTTGGATGTTGCAAGAGTTTAGATTGTTCACGTAAACACTGTATTTAAACAACGTAACTATTTAGGGATAGGATATGACATTATTGCAAGAGCAGCAGGCATCTAATGATGAAATTAGTTGATACAATCACAGGGTCAATGAAGGCATCAATTTATCTGGGATTTACGAAAATAGCATCATGCCGTCCATCACGACTGCTTAGCGAGTTACGTAAAAGCTGAAAGTGAAGATGCATTATGTACTTGTCGCACACTTGTACTGGCCAAGATCTGCTCCAGCAGCATGAGGGAGTGATGTGGAAGCTCGAGAGAACAACAGAATGTGTACAGCAGCTCTGAGTCACACTTAGTGGCTAACAGGTTTGTAATGACATGGAGCACAGGACGCAGTCTGGATGCTCCCTCCAGCATACCATCTAAAACCTGAACACAAGCCAGCACAAATAATAAAAAAATACAAATTAAATTTATGCACGTTTATATCTACTACCTAATACGCCGTTACCTCGTTATTGCATACTGAGATTCATGCTAATATTCTAATTGTAATGCATTGTTGATGCTAACATGATGTAATAAACAAAGGTAAGGGCATAGTGAAATTAGTACAGTAAATATATTGTTTATATGTTAGTAGTAAAATCACCATCTGTATGTATCCAATATTTCAAAATATTTTTCGAAGTAAAACGTGACAGATATGATCTGCATAGACGCTTGAAAACAAAAGCACATATATGGAACTAAATAATAATGTCATGTTACTATTATGAACAGAGCTAACACAAATAAATAACAGCTCAACAAACTAATACTCGTGTTTACAGGTAGGAACAACAGTTCCACACTGCCCACCAGGGATTATTTGTCTGTCTGTCGTGCATAGCCACGCCCTCGATTTGTATTTCATAGAGCGCTTCGAGCGGACTCAGCACCACGTGACGCGCCGCCCCACGCAGCTTGCGCCGCATGACACGAATCGCACGAATGCGCTGTCCAACCAAGTTCCTACCTGCCCACTCCGAAAGAACGTGTTAAATTACCTGAGTGGATGAGTCTCTCAGCCTGGCTCGAATGCGAGTCAAAAACTCAGCATCTGACAAAAGTGTCATGGGAGTGGTCAACTGTAGGTTGGTAGGATCCGTCGCTTCAATGAAATGCTGCCACTCGTCATCGCTGTCCATCTCCTGCGAAAACAGTCATTATTATAAGCACCTTTGTCCAAGACAATAAGATACAAGAGACTGTGTGAAGAAATAAAAAAAATGTAGTGGAATATCCACTTTGTAGGTCTTTGCTTATCAAGCTCATATCTGTATTGTGTAAAGCAAAAACGTGCAATCCAAATAAAAACATAGCTTTAACGTATGAATCACATAAAGTGTGATTCAATGTTATTTGAATATTACACCACTGACTTGTTCACATGGATGTAGGATGTTTCACTATTTAAAATGGTCATATTAAACTGTGATGCCTATGGCATTATTAACATACTCCAATGTCAACATAGCAGGGGTCATAATAGGTCCTTACAAATATTACCTCAATGGTGTCAATGTTATTTTGAGCCATCCAGCCGTCCAAAAACAATATATTAAAGGTGTTTCACACTGGGCTCAATCAAATTCAATTACCATCAACCAGGACTCAGCACACTGATTAATATGTATGTGAGAAAAAAACGAAAGTGGACTGAACATGATTTTTGCCAATTGTTATAGTACCACAACTACAAGTGTGTGCACACAAAGCAATGTCACAGCTTAATTTAAAACAAAGCTCTAAATGGTCCCAATTTTCGTGATTTTGCACAACATTGTGAAGGACAAGTGCTGTTTGTGGCCTATGGATTGGCACAAGACAACCTTATGTTTATTTGGAATCCATAAATTAATGTATTAATTGTATAACATATAAGTGTGTTGCGTCGTATAACCACGCGGAGACGGAACTTCTTGTAAGGGCTTTCGCCGTTTATTAACACGGTTTAAACACTCGGCTCACACCAGGGGTAGGTGTTCTCTATACTCGGTCCTTCCCATGGACCCCCAAGCTCAACTCGTCCTAACCTCGGCTATCCCTTTGGCTCTCTCACTCGGGCCGGGACGGGGGTTCATTCAACACCGCCCGGCCGAGGAGAGAAGAACCCCACTCACTCTCAGCCGATTCTCACAGACTTCTTCGAGCCCTACCCTCGGCTATCTCTTCGGCTCTCCCACTCGTCGACCCCGGACAGCGGTTCAGCCAACACCGTCCGGTCACGAGCGGGAGAGACCTCCTTCAGCCGACCCACACTCCGGGCTCCCACAACGATCACGCCTTCGTCACGGGGTCCCCCTTAAGTACCCCTTGGGCGGCTCCTCCCCTTCACTCGGACCCGCCCCTGTTCTCGAAGGTGTCTCCTTACAGCGCCCATGACATGACGTCATCACACTACTCTTCTACAAGTGCATTGGTGTAATATGTTAGGCCTACTACACAAACAAATATAACTTGTACGTGTTTAATAGGTTATGCTATGGAGATGCACATTATGTAAAATTCTCAATAAATGTTTGCATTACGAATAAGGAAAAAAAAAGCAAGTGTAACAAAGCTCTGCTTGTAACCGTGTACCTCATTGTCAAGGTCTACATTGTCGATGCTTCCGTTGGCACGTCCTGGCACGGCGCTGGGGTTCTGCCGTGTTAGAGTACGGCTTCCGACCTCCACCTCTGGAAATTCTTTTGCGTAATCAGCACCAATTCGATCTACCCTAGAAAAAAAAAGCGATTCATACTTTTTACATGACTATCTTTGAAAACAGATATTACACTTTTTTGCATGATCATCTTTCAAACAGAGATATCTTTGCAAATTTGCAAGTTAAAAATAATAAGATTTTACATTTGAAACTGCAAAGCATAATGACTGTTGAATATAAATGATTTTGTCTGGATTTCACTTTTGGCAAGCACACTAGAATTGTTTTTAAATCGTTTAAACACTGCTGATGATTCAAAATGTTAACCAAAAATAAATATTTATTCTGGAAACAAAACTTCTCAAAAGAATACCAATGTGTGCACTTACTTTGGTGTGGGTGGCCTATTTTCCATTTGCCAATCATCCTTTCTTGCATCACCAACCTGCTTCACAGCTAAAGTGGCAGCAGAACTTACAGCTTGTTTGGCCATTGATTTATGTTTAGAGGCTAATGCACTGTGTGAAGAAGCCTTTTTCTCCAAAACACCTCGTTGTCTTTGAGGTGCGTTTCCACATTGATTATCTTTTTCCTGTTATTAGCATTGAAAAGAAAAAATAAGTGTAACCATCAATTTCTTGAAATGATAACATTTTTCAAAAGTAACCATTTGGGGTGAGAAATGCATCCTAATTTAACCACCTTGTTCTTTGCTACTTCTGCCATCTTTTGCCGTGCCTTGCGTAGAATCTTTGACTGCCCACTGGTAGGTGCCAGTTCTGCTGCCTGTTTTTCTTTTTGTGCCTGAAGTTCAGGGCTGAGGTCCTCCGTCAGTGGATTTGTTTCCTCGGCAGAGATGTCATCCAACACTGCAATTTGATCAAACTTTAGTAAGAAAATATTTGTCACATTAAGCATATACTCAATTCCACACTCATAAGGGATACTTTATGGTGGTAGTGGAGAATAAAATAATATTGAATGGATAACCTTGAACTTAGGTGAGCAATTGCCACTGAAATTATTAAAAATTCTTTGTTAGACCATGCAGTACGATGAGGTACGAGCTGCATGCAAGATGCTGTGTGGTATGATAAGTGCATGCGACTTCTTTATAGAGCTGTATGCAGCCCACTGGATGTATAAGTTGCCTTAAAAGAAATATGTGGAGCAAGGATCCATGCAAAATCCTCGTGGATCACGGCTGCATTGAGTTGCCGTCGGGCCGCCGCATGGCTTTCTTGTCATCACCAACTTTGTTTGCACAGCAAACGTTTCGGTCCCTGCCATGGCAAACCAAACGTTTAAATTTCTCTCCGGGGCGCAGATGCTGATCCCCTTGCGGTTTAAAAAGCACCTAGATTGCAAAACGGCTTCGCACGGGTTGTTGATGGTTCCCTCCACCAGGGCGGTTTCACGCACAAAATTTGGTTTATGCGCAGACTTTGGTTGCAACCTTTTATTCAGGTCCTGAATGTCGGTCCGGACACGTCGGTGTTTCAAGAGGGCACTGTCTCAGCTCACGTGTCGGCTGCAGGTGACGTTTATAAAAACGGTGGGAATATAGGTGTTTCAGCGGCTACGGGGCAGGGTGAGGACGTTGACGAGGCATGGGTAAACACGCTCTGTTCCGAGAGCAAGGACATGTCTGAAACACAGAGGCTCGAGCTGCGTGCGCTCTTATCGGAATTTGGCGATGTATTTAGTAAATCCAAATTCGACATTGGCTGCACGCCTTTATTGCGCCATCACATTGACACGGGAAATTCGGGCCCTATTCGTCAAAAACCGTACCGCCTGAGTCCCGCGGAGAAGGACCATGTGCGCTGCGCGGTGGATGAAATACTGGCCGCAGACATTATCGCTCCCTCCAACAGTCCATGGGGTGCACCCATCGTTCTTGTAAAGAAACAGGACGGTAGTTTGAGGTTCTGCGTGGACTTCCGTAGACTCAACAAAGTCTCTGTGGCGGATGTGTACCCGCTCCCGCGGACGGATGACTCGTTAGACGCGTTGTCAGGGGCGCGGTTTTTCTTTACGCTGGATTTGATGTCGGGATTTTGGCAGTTGCCCATAGATGACAGCTCTTGGCCAAAGACTGCATTGCACACGCCCCAGGGCCTTTTTGAGTTCGACCGGCTCCCGATGGGATTGCACTCAGCCCCAGTCACATTCCAACGGCTGATGGAGCTATTGCTAGCGGGCCTACAATGGAATACGTGTTTGATTTATCTCGACGATGTCATTGTGTTTGGACGCACGTTCGAAGAGCACCTTCAGAAGTGGCAGGCTGTTTTCCCCAAATTCGGGCTGCTAACTTGAAGTTTAAGCCGCAGAAGTGCTGCAGAGATCGGTCAAATACCTGCTGAGATCGGTCAAATACCTAGGCCATATCGTCGTCAAATCCGGGATTTCGACGGACCCTGACAAAACTGCGTGCTTTCTCATGTGGCCAACCCCCAAGTCGGCGGGTGAGGTACGTAGTTTTGTCGGATTTGCCTCTTATTACCGATGCTTCATCCCCGGGTTCGCCACGATCGCAAAGCCGCTCCATGTCCTCACGGCCAAAGGCCAGAAATTTCGGTGGGGGGCGGAGGAGGCCGCGTTTGCCACGCTGGCAAAAGCCTGGTCAACGCGCCTCGCCTTTGGTACCCCAATTTTTCTTTGCCTTTCGTCCTTGAGACTGACGCTGGCAATACTGGTATTGGCGCCGTTTTGTCACAGGTGGTGGACGGAGTAGAGCGTGTGGTCGCATACGGCAGTAGGGTGTTTTCTACGGCCGAGCAACACTATTGCGTTACGCGCCATGAGTTACTGGCAATTGTTTATTCGTTCAGCAGTACCGGCCGTACCTCTATGGGTGAAAATTCCAGGTGCGATCAGACCACGCAGCCTTGCAGTACACACTGCGTGTTGAGCAGCCGTCCGGCCAGCTGTCCCGTTGGCTCGAGGTCTTTCAGGACTATGCATTTGAGGTCTCGTATAGAAAGGGCGTCCGCCACTCGAATGCTGACGCGTTGTCATGTCTGCCAACCGGTGAAGATTGCGCGTGTACATCGGGCGCGGGACGGTGCAAGCCCGCCAATTCAGCTCCACCCCGGGAAATCGTCGCTGCGGCCGATGTCACGCACACGGACACAGCTGACACATGTGACCACACGCTCGGTCTCTCCAACTCCGAGTGAGGACGCCTCATTGTTAGCCATCAGACTCCGGGTTCGTGACTCCGCAGAGGGTGACAGCTGACGACCGTTAGCCACAGTCATTCTGAGAGGGGGCCTCCTCATGCGCTGGGACGCATAATTACTAAAGTATAACGTCGTAGTTCCCACCATCCTGCGGGGGAGGTTGGCTTAGGCAACGCACGGACATCTTACGCATTTCAGGGGTCGCAAAAACCCTGTCCACCCACTGCCTGAACTTCTTCTGGCCCCGCATGGCGGCGGACGTCCAAAATGTGCTTAGAGGATGCACTGCATGTGCCCGCCGGAAACCTACACCGAAATTGGCATGACCCCCTCTCCAATCCATTTATGTATCGTGGATGAATGAACTCATCGCACTCGATATTCTGGGTCCGTTTCCCGCCAACCAGCGGGGTAACAAGTATCTGCTCGTGGGGGTAGTGTATCTTTCTTGGTGGGTGATGGCCTGGCCGGTGCCGGACCAGTCGGCAGCCATCATTACGGATCCCTTTCTCCACGGGTACGTTCTGAATAAGGGGGCTCCAGAACGACTCCTTACGGACCAGGGCAGAAATGTTTCGTCAAAACTACTTAAGGAGGTGTGTGACCTATTGGGCACTAAAAAGATCCGCACCTCGCCCTATAATCCGCAGACCGATGGCATGGTGGAGCGTCTACATAGGATGTTCACATCCATGCTATGTCATCAGGTTAACGAACAACAGACCGACTAGGACTTGCATGTTCCAGGGGTCCTGGCCGCATATAGATTGTCCCCCCATGCGTCCACAGGCTACTCGCCTTTTTTTCTTATGTATGGGAGGGAGAAAAATCCGCCCATTGACGCACAGCTAAATCCGGATCTGGCTCAAAAGAAACTTCCCGACTCCGTACGGGTTCCCCTACAGTGCCTATCGGAGGCTAGGGAGGCCTCCCGCGGGAACTCGGCCTTGAAGCAAGCTGCCAACGAGCGGCAGGTGGGTGCCTAGGAGACTGGGACCAAATGGGCAGTTGGGGATAGGGGTGTGGCTTCATTGGCCCCAGGTTCCCGTAGGGACGTCCCCTAAGCTCTACAAACCGTGGCGGGGGCCTGTGGAGATTGTCGAGGTAAAAAGCCCACAAAGCGTCCGCATACAATTCGGTCGAAGGTGCTAGTTTGTTCATGCGTCGCGCCTCAAACCGTTTTGTCCGCCGGACGAAGCTCATTCATCATCTCAAATCTCTGGGTGCTGTGTGTCCGGTGTGCCCGACGAGCCGGGGCGTGCGTCCACAGGAACGATGCCTCAGAGATGCTCCGCCTCTTCTCCCTCAGGGTCCCAGCTACTGAGGTCTGGGGAGCCGCCGAACTTGTTGCCGGTTTCGGCGCAAGTCAGGGGCGGACAACCATTGTCGGATCTTTTCTCTCCGGTTGAGCGGCCTCTTCCTTCGCCACTTGGAGAGGGGCCGCGGGCCTCGGGCCAGCCTTGTCACACGGGTTTGAAAACTGGCCGCTTCCTGGCTGCCGGGAGGGATTGATCACCCCTTGAGATTGCCGTCCCTTCTTCTTTATCTCACGGCTCTTGTTTTGTGTCGTTGGGGCGCGTTGGTCGGGGTTATTGTTACACTTACCGTTCACATTACATTGGGGGCCGCGCCTTGCTGTGAAATTGGCTGTGAGACTAGGAGGTTTTTTTTTGGGTTGTTGGAAAATTTTCTCCTCTACTCTTTCCATTTGGGGTTTCACAGCCGGGTCGGCTGAAATTTTGTAAAGGGGGGGGGGGGGTAATGTAGAGACACAGTCAGATGTCTCTGTGGGTCACGCCAGCCAGTGCTAGAGGAGCGCCGGGTGCCCCGATTGAACGAGCTAAGGGCACGTGGCCAGAAGCGGGCCTCGATTGGACTAGCTAGGGGCACGTGACCGGAAGCGGTGCCCGATTGGAGGAGTCAAGGGCACGTGACCTGAAGCGGTGTCCTCAATTGGAGGAGTTAAGGACACATGGCCGGAAGCGGGGGCGCCGTCCTTGATACAGCAAGGGAGGGGGATTCAGGGCTCGTTCAGGGATCAAGCTAGTTAACACATATAGTGAGCCAGCATAGGGAAGTTAGCCACACTTAGCAACAGAATCCGGTGTATAGTGAATTGTTTAATAAACGCGTTGCCTCCAACAACAGTGTGTGTGCGCCTCAGTTGACATACACTACACTTGCACCAAAGCTGGTGAACTGCCAGACCCGCTCTTTGAGGTATGGGTCCGAGTTTATAATCAATTCAAATTATATGTATTTGGAGAAAATTCCCCAAGTTATATGACAACACTAATAGCAATTACGTAAATAGAAAATTGAAATGCAGTTTAAAGTATATATATTTTAGTTAATTAAATACCTCTACAGTGTTTTCTATGCAGTATTTACAATTCTTAAACCAATGAGTTGACCAGTTTCCTACATCATATCGCATGTATTATGTATGATATTATGTATTACTTGTGGGCAGCCTCTCCTATGGACGGGGTGACGTGACACTCGCCTGAACCCTCGTCAGACTTACCAGTTCAAACTAATATAGTAGCAAGCTAGTTGATTTTCAATAGCTCCCCATAAGCACAATCATCTCTTCCCAATGGAACACACCTATCGGTTTGTATGATTTTGAAATGTGGTTGTGGGGATTACATCATGTGCCGCACTCTTAAAAATGGCAGACTGGATAAGTAGCATTGGGGCCAATAAGTCGACTTATGATGGAAAAGGTAATACCGTTTTATAATACAACTAACTTGCTGAATCTATAGATCACAAACCATCAAATGGCACCTCATTCAGTTAATATGGTGGAGTGATATAGGATATTTTTTCCAGACAAAGACCAACACTTGCATACAAACATACAGATTTGGCTCTTATTATACAGAATGTTTTCTAAAGCATGACTTGGCACTATGAGACCATCTCCACCACTTGTAATTGACCTTTATATTATGTTTTGCATGCAGTATATTGCATACAGCATTCATTCTGTACCGTATGGCATAGCAGGGTGAGTTACATGCAAATAGAAAAAGGGACATCACAAACATCACAATGCATGCAGTTACCGATTCCTGGTCCTGCAACATATAATAAGGCTTTGCGGTTATTTCTGACCAAAGTTTAATTATTGCTCATCTCAAACTGTTCAACTAAAGTATTAGGAAATGTTTAATTTACTTCACAATAAACAAGTCCCTCATCTTATTCACAAAAAATGTAAGCAGCAACCATACCAATAACTTTTCCAGCCACAAATGGGTGGTGAAGGAGTGCTGGCCAGGAAAGACGTAATTTCGGTTCCTTTGTCAGCAATCCCTGCAAGAAGTTCTGAAACAAACATTTAAGTGAATATTGTAAAACCAATGCTATTAAAGCACACCATTGTTTTTAGCATAATGTGCCCTCTATACCAGTGCCCAGATTCATTCAAAACATGATTTTAGAGTAAAAAATAACCTACCCTGAACTCTGCGCTCATGTTCTTAGGCCACTTGACAGGATCTTTGATGATGAGGCTGACCAGTTGAAAAATGCTGTTGGTGTAGAAGGGTGGCGTGCCAACAAACAGCTCGTAGAGGATACAGCCCATGGACCAAAGGTCAGCTGTATGGTCATATGGCTTCTCCTCCACCAACTCAGGAGACATGTACAATGGCGTTCCTTTAATGGAGGTCAGTACAAGGGTATTGATGCTCATGGCCCGGGCAAACCTGCCAAAACAGCAGAAACAGGTAAGATGAAATCTTTTTTCAATAACATGTCAGACCTCTCCAAAAAAATTGCTCAGATGCCATAAATGATCCATGAGCACTCTGGAGACTCCGAGTCTCTTAAGCCCTTCTGCAATAAATCAGGTAAGCACCAAGGAAACAGTGAGGCGGTGTGTGTGTATCATGCCTTTCATCCCGATTGATATTCTGACTGACATGGATCACTTTTTATAAAAGTATTCTAAAGTGTTATTTGCCTTTGTCATTACGAGTAATATATGCTGTCTGTAAAGACCTGTACGTTTAAAATGTCAAAAACTAAACTTTAAACAAAATGCTAGACTGTATACATAAATGTACAGTAATAGTCAAAAGTATATATTCTAGAAACACAGATGGCCACATAAATGTAGTGAAAGTTTTAATACTGACCCAAAATCACAGAGCTTGACAACCCCTCCTTTTCCGAGCAGTATGTTTTGAGGCTTCATGTCCCGATGAAGGATGCGATGAGAGTGTAGATAATATAATGCAGAAACCAGCTGACATGCAATCTCACGGACCTGCAAAATTAACTTGTATCATTAGGTCATCGAGACCATAACCAATGTGCAGTGCCAATACATAATTCCCGTGATATTAGCATTACGACACAGATATTACCTGCTCTTCAGGAAGGTTTCCATCATCTTCCAAGATCTGAAATAGCTCTCCTTCTGCATAATCTGTTACAACCACCACCTGCAGGAAACAAACCATGCCAATGTACAATCCCAACTTTTTCGGTCTCTGTCACACAACCATCACATACTTGTGTTGTGGCAGTTTTTTTGTAATACACATCTACTTCATAAAAAAATGCACTGCTATACATCGATCAGGTACTTTTCATGACAATTGTAAGAAGCCACTTTTACAGCAGCAACAAAAAGCGTTTATAAAAAGCCAAGGTGTCAATCACCACTTCCTCCAGTATGAACGAGAAAAACTAATTACAAAAATCTAACCTTAAAATAAAAACCACTGGTTGCTAATTTATTTGTAAAGCACAGATGTTGGTTGCATAATGCTGGCACAAAGAAGCAAATGCACACCCAGTGTGAAAATGCAATTATGCACTTGCTTCAAATTCTAATTTTGTATCCAAAGCAATGTTTGAGATATATCCAGATTATTATCTAGTCTCTGCACAACGGCGAAATAAACACTTTGACCAAAATTGCACTTTTGTTGTTGGGATTTGGTCAAAAACTAAATTTATTTGGTTTCAACTTTTCTGATTAGTTCTAAAGTAGTATAAACACAGCCATTTGTGCAAACAATTATCACATATCCCATTTAAAAACACTGTCTTGAACACTAGTAGTGAATCGTTTCTGTTATTGTCAAGACAAAAAGTGGGTCCCACTGCATTTACCTCCTTATCAGTCTCAAAGCTGTCCAGCATCTGGACAATGTTCGGATGTTGAAGGCCTCGCATGATATCAATTTCTCGACGCAGGTTTCTCAGCTCCTTGTCTGAGCGACCAACCTTTGGGATGAACTTGAGGGCTACAACCTGAAATATTAAGAGTGTTTGCCTTACTGATCAAATACTACACAGCTTGAAACGTTATAAATCAAATGTTTTGCATGACAAACTGGAATTCAAGGTCAGAGAAAAGCATAAACTTTGTTGTAAATTGTTAAAATGCAGTTCAGGTTTTTTTCTATCTGAAACAAACACCATGTTTGATTTATAATTATAACCCTGGGTCATTCAAAATTACTTACTTGGCCAGTATATCTTTTTCTTCCCTTGTATACCTTCCCAAATGATCCCTCTCCAATCATCTCCAGCACGTGGTACTTTTCCATGGTCCTTGGCCAGAAGTGCTCCCAGGTTTGTGAATTACTGCTGTTCTTGAAAAGGTGCCGCTGTGATGTACTTCACACGACTGCGCGAAGGAAGTTTGCTTTCTGAAGATGCGACATCACAGTACCCGTGCCTGCATGAACAGTGCCTGCAGGGATCAACAAAGCTCATTTATGATTTTAAAAGACAGCCACTGATGTGATTTTGAGTATCAATTAACTTGATAACTTTTCCAGTTATATTTAACTTGTATACGTTGTAATAAAGTTGAGAGATACATCGTAGTTGATTTAGTTAAGATCGCACAAGTGAACTTGAAAGGTGCATTGAAAAGTGTTGATGCTCCTGCCGATACTGCTGTTATGGAGTGACTCATGCTGCCAGCTATAGCAGCAAAGTTTGGTCGTGCACGTTATGTATATCGTTTATTGTTAAATTTGAATCACAGTTCCTATGATCACCGTTACATTGTTTTTATAGCTTTATTTTTGTGATTTCGAAAACGCATGGTTAAGCCATGTTTGTTGAAGTACGGAGTTAGCCTAACTTCATCTAAATTGTCTTATGGTTATTATTAGACTTGCGTCCCATTGGGATTTTTGCACACAGCGCTGATATACGGTGCTTTTTTCTGGAAGATTTTACTGTTTTTTCCTGGATGTTTCTGTTGCGCGTCGTCACTTTAAGGTGTTCTTTGTTCACGTTTTGTTTGTTGCGGTTGCACCCGAGTCAAGTGGGCCATGGCTCACAGGGCTATACCTAATCAATTAAACTGAAGTAAATGCAAATGGTGTGTCATACAACCCTCATCCGTCTGACATGGCCGAAAGCCTTAGTATTATATTTGACAAATGAAACTAAAACCGTTTTCTTGTGTGAAGTATGTGCAATATCTTTATTCGTTTACTAAATCTGCACCATGTATCCTTGCGAATGCTGTACATTTCTCATTCAAAGCGTGATTGTGGTGACACTCATAATGGTTGACAAAGGCGCAAGGAGAGATTGTGATGGGCGACATTTGTCAGCCGAACACTCGAACCACAGCACGATATCGTGCTGTGGTACACACAACAGTATTAGATCAATCCAGTACAGCTGATTAAATCGGGATCATATGCAGCAGTTTACATTTTTTCCCTTGATTTTTTTTGTACACATTTACCGGGCGACATTCTCCAAATCGCGTGGATTTGTGCACGTATCCTTAGGCTAATATGCATGCGATAATACAATAATGTTGTTGTCAGTAATCGCTTGATTTAACACGGCTTGCAAACGCCACACTGCACGTGGGCTCTGAGACTCAAACCACGGTCGTCTAGACAACGCTAAGAGGGCCAACAACGACAGCAGCAGAGTTCGTATGGGCGACAAGCTTGGGGCCTCAAAAAAATAATATAAAACAATAAAAATTGTCACGACGTTTCGACTGCAACACAAGTAATCATCATCAGGTGTGAAATCCACAGCAAGAAAATTTGATTCTTTCCCTTATACGTGACTTTACCGAAAGCTTGGGGCCTCGTTTATAATAAAACGTTCGTACATGGAAACTATACGTACACAACACACTCTCTCTATAGATGATACACTATATTCACACTCACACATCAGATATAATAACGCAGTCAAGACACCTTTAGAGAGCTCCGCTTCGTTGTGCGAGGCTCGCAGAAACAGACCAAAGCACCTTCGTAATTAGTACGTCCCCATTGCCTGATGACCACAGGCCACACACACATCGAGGCACCTTGATGACCCTCCTGTGAGAGTCCACGACACGTTCACAAGCCTCAGGGTGCAATGTCACATTTGCTACGACTCGGGGGCAAGAACTGGAAGCCGCGTCGTCCTCGCGGCTATCGCCTCACGAGTACAGAACCGAAGGCAACTTTTGCCGCCCCCCCCCTTCTCCCAAAGATATCGCTGTTAATGGCACGAGGCTCGATAATTATCGTAGCGATAGGCTGGGGGGGGGGGGGTGACCACTCGAGAACGACACCGGCGAGACGAACGCAGCGCGAACCACCCCACCACACACCTCTCGCGATCACAATCATCAGCGCGACTTCTCTTCTAACGGTGTTAATTAGCAGTGTAATGAACAAATGTGTGTGTGGCAGCACGGAGGGGTTTTGTTAGGGGTTAGCGGGCAGGAGATGTTCACCGATGCTCTCCGAAGCGGCGGCCGCGAGTTTCCTTCCCCTCCCCCCACGCGCCAATGGCGAAGAGTCGCCGCCAAAACCATAGGTGTCCGAGGAGCGCCTGTCAAGATTTTTTTTATTTTTAATAAAAAATATAAATTAATTGTAACTTGCATCTTGAACTATTGTTGTTATTGTAATAGGGGTTTACCCTTGTATCTGGTACAAAAACTGACACCTTTATACAAGGGATCATGTTTGGATTGACCACAACACAAGCAGTCAAAATGCAAACAAAAATAAACAACTCTGATAATATACACCATTGGAACCTCATTTGCCAGTAACAAAATATGCTAATTGTTTTTTTACCCTTTTATATGGCAACAAAACTGACACCTTTTTTTTACAAGGAGTCATGTTTGCATTGACCACAACACAAGCAGTCAAAATGCAAACAAAAAAAAACAATTCTGATAATTATATGCACTGTCCTTGAAATTGTTTGGTTCACACCCGAGACAGCTTTTCTTAGAGCCTAGTCTCCACTGGTGTTGGACCAGATGACGCCAAAAGGCGTACTACTCAAAAACAGCGCACTATCAGAGTATTAAGAGCTCGGGGTAAGCATTTACACTATGAGACCTCCTTTACCAGTATCAAAATATAGTAATAGGGTTTTATCCTTTTATCTGGTACAAAAACTGACACCTTTATACATTTCCCTTTATAGTACAGCAGTAGTATTCCAGCATTGTTATTACTGACAATGGTTTTGAGTTTTGACTTAACTGGATCATACTTTACACAAATTAAACAATGACTTAGCACCAGTTTGATTTGACCTCTCAACACTTTCCATGTCAAGCCAATGGTAAGATGTTTTTTTTTCCTGTATATATTTTCAACTACGGTGTCTCCACCTATGTCAACGTTTACTCCGAGGAGGAGTTAGCGCTTAAAATGCTCACTTATAGTATATTTATATATTTTTTATGACAGATGTCGTGAGCTTTAGTATTCATTCCGAGCTTGCACTCTGCAGTCCCCTGTCATCATCATTCATGAGCCATAATCAATTCACTTGCAGGATGAGGGCCAGGGGTTGGGTTGCATAAGACAACTTTAAGTGAAATCATCCATTCGGATGTTCCACTGCAAATCAGTGTAAAGTAAGAGCCATTTCAACTTAAGTACATAAAATGAAAACTTTTACAATAAAAACTTTTTTTATGATTGGACTTATTGTGAATAACATTTGTCGCGAAAGCCTACGTGTTAAATTCAGCTCAAGTTGTTTACGCAACCGGCAGCGGTCCCTTAAGCACTTTATAAAAACATAAATGTTTCCTTGAGTGAATCAGGCATCTCGGAAGGCACCTAAGCACCGTAGAGGGGAGGGGTTGTCGTGTGGGGGAGGGGAGGGGTTCGTTGGGGGAGGGGAGGGGCTGTAAGGGGTGCTCAATGCTGATTCGTTGGGGGTCAAGGGGAGGGGGCGGAAAAGGGAACTCAAGGACCCCCCCCCCCAAACCACGACCCCCACCCTTGGCCAGGACCCCTCGGTTGCCATCGCAACGGAGCGTAAACAACGCGGAGGCGAACAGACGCACGTGGACGTGACGCTGGGGGCAGAGCGGTCAATTTTTGTCGTTCTTGTCGTTCTTTTAATGGTATATTATTTTTTATATATATACAGATTTTAAAAGTATACGATCCCCGGCCACGGTTGGTAAATAAAATTTACAAAACGTCCATAAGTAGAGTGCAAAGTTTGGGCCGCGTGTGTGTGCGAGCTTCTAGCAATATGGCTTTATACACGAGGTCATCCGTTCAGATGCCACCGGACGTGGACCCGACCAAGGCCACCTTGGCCTTCGGGGACAGGGCGCTGCCCAGGTTGTGCAGGGAGTTGCAGGGGCCCGAGCTGCTGACCCGGCAGCGAGCCCTCATGGCCCTGTGCGACTTGGTGCACGAGCCAGAGATGGCTTACGAGGCGGTGCGTGTCGGTAAGAGCCTCCTACTCCTCGCGGGTGATGGACCTGCCAGTATTTTATAGGTTTGCGTCGAACTCAGACCCAACTTCGAATAGACATTGCCTTGACACATGGGGAATTTCATCAGCAGTGACTTTAAGTAAGTCTGATTTTGCTGACGAGACGATGATTGTCAATATCGATCCAGAGTTTGTATTATTAAATCAACGTTTGCTGCAAAAAGATACACTTCCAGAAGGCGGTGTGGCTCATAGGATGTGTAATGCATACTTTTGTAGGGGTGTTAGGGGAAGGATTCCCACCAATAGGAGGGGGAGTGGGACGGTGACAGAGGAGGGGGAGGAGCAGGTGAGGAGATATCAGGGAGAGAACGGGCAAGAACGAGATTGGGACGGCTGGGGACAGGTGTGGATGGGAGGAAAGGAATAAAAGACAAACCCCCTGCAACCTTGTGCCGGCTCTCCTTGACACTTTTTATCTGGAGAGAGATGTGGGAAGGAGCTATGTCTGATGGTTTATTTTGTTTCCCATTAATGAGCCTGTAAGGGTTCGAGGTAGGGTTAGTGTTGTACTGACAGAGGTTAGGTGAAGATGGAGATGGAGTAACCTATGAAATCAGCTTGCGTGAAGGTGCTAGGTGGGTGTTGGTGACGGCTTGGGGGAGGAATTCATCCATGACTGGAATGACATGGCTGCTGAAGATCTAGAGGTCATAGGTCAACGCATAATATGGAATATCGCCAACGAGACACCGGCAACTATAGAGCTGCCACGTTTTGATGATGCACTTGCGGGAGACTCACCAAATGTTACTATTGCATTTAGTTATATGGAGTGAAGGCTGACTGAGGTTTGAAATTACACATGAAAGGGTGTAAACTGTAGAGGCATGGTTTCATCGTGCGTGGACACAGATTTTTATGTTCTGAAAGTTACATTTAAGCCACCACTGACAGCATGGACGAAATCTTTAACAAATTGGTAAATTATCACAGTTCTTGGTTCTTTCGGTAAAGTCACGTAGAAGGGAATTTTTTTATTATTATTTTATTATTTCCCTTCTACGTGACTTTACCAAAAGAACCAAGAATATTAATCCCTGCAGTCACGAAAGCTTTAAATCAAAATTTATCACGGTACCTGTATAAACTTCGCTATTGCTATTGACCAGCGTGGTCAAGTACATGTTGTATGTCATGCTTTATCCCAAACATAACTTTTAAGGGTCCACGTTTTTTTCTCTCAAAATATTGTATTCTTATTCTTTTTTACAAAAACACCAGCACTATCCATCACTGCTACCTGAACAATATGGTGCAGGAGAACATGCCCTTGCCTATATGTTCTCTTCTGTCTGTTTCAAAACAACCAAGTTTAAAACGTCTTTTACGAAAGAGTTTGTTGGACAGACGAGACATTAAAGTGCTCATATAATGAGCCAGGGAAGGTCAGCCTTAGAGGGGGTAAATAGGCTGAGCAGCAGGAAGACATTGTAGGCCAAGATAATGGCAACACTGAATAAAAAGCAACAGACACTTTCACGAGAAAGCCATCAGAGTGCAGCCTCATTTGCTCTCAGAACATCAACGTGAACAAAGCCTGCATCAAACACACTCTTAATGTTCCCCACACAGCGGTGCCGTATGTGGAAATAGAAAGCTAAACCATTAACCTGTGTTTTTGCTGTGGTGGGAATGAATATGTTACGTTTACAGGTTGTCTAGAGTGTCTGAGGTCACTGCTGGTTGACGAAGATGCCACAGTTCGTTGTAAGACGACAGAGGCCCTATCCATTATGGTCTCGCACAGCATTACCAGGTAAATTTGCATCATATACACAAAATATTTAGCTGGGTGGAATATTGGTTTGAGTGTGTGGCTCACAGTGTGAAGGCTGTGAATTAAAATCTCGGTAGGGGGCCAACTGATTAATTCAATTTGTAGAAAGACAACCATATTACTATGGTTAGACTCATTCTATAATTGGAACGTGTAAACAGATTATGAACACCATGTAATGTATGCTTTTTTGTCCTGCATAAAAACAATGGATGAAAATTATTAACCAATATTTACCAAGTTTGTAATGTTTAACATGTCTTTTTGTCCATTATTATGCTTCTAACAGGACAATGTTTTTGTCCATGGATTTGATTTTGCCGCTGTCTCATCTCTTTGACGATGATGTAGACATCTGTCGATTAAATACCCACAAGACCCTGGAAATGCTGTCTGAAATTCCTCACGGTACTGAAATGACTACACAATACAGCACTCTGTATGCACATACATGCATACACACTTGCGAACACTCTTAAGCTTAATTAAACCTTCCTTCTGTTTGTTGAGTCAATATTTTCCAAATGTATATTATTTTTAAATAATATATACATATTTATGTACATCTTAAACCTGACACGTGCTTTATTACATAATTTATTAAATATTCCAGTCCCTACAGAGCAATATTGAATGCTTGTATGTGTTCTTACAATACATAGCTTATTTATATAACGGCAATCCATGTACAGGGTTGTGAATTATCCACTTATCCAGTATGTGCCTGTTATCTAGAGACATTCAGCATTGCTGCTGATGAATATTTAGTGATGTAACACAATGGTGTGTGTGCTGCTCATATTCTGAAAGGGATTTCAAGTTCCTGGTAAATTGTATGTCACCACAGACCTGTGAAGTCAAGTTGACTATGAGGTTAATAATTTAAGTTGAAAGGGGCAACCTTGCTTGTGGACATCCGTGATAGGGTGTCGTCATCGCTGTTATGGACATACTTTGCATTATCTCTGCCATGCATTTCCAAGGGTTAGCACTGAATCTGTCAATACTGCAAAGTGAAGGGATTCACTGTGGTCCCACAGATGCCTATATTCCAAGTGTTATAATTAGAGTTGAGCTATTGGATGAGTAAAGTAATTTGCTATACTAATTTTTGCTTATATTACTTGCCTAATCTAATAATACGAAAATAGTTGGGGAAAAAAGTCTCACCCCAGTTCCCACGTGTGGCATTTAATTACAAGTAAATAGTTGCATAAGGTAACTGCAAATTAATGTCAGGGAGAGTGTATGATAGGAAAGTCAATTCTAAGTAAAACCTGGGCATGAGAGCAAGTACAAAGTAATCGGTGCAGTTATGACAGCAAAATAAAATTTTCCATGAAAGTAAATGAAAAATAATTTTGGAGCGTTTCATGACCGGAAAGTAAATCTCACATTAACAAAACAATGAATCTTAGGATTGATTTTTGCTAGGAAAGTAAATTCCAAGCAAACTTTGGAATAAAAGTAAATCCTCTATGAAGCAATGATAGTGTATTTTTGCAAGAGGAAATCAAATTCAGTCATGCACGTATTGTAATTCTTGTTGTGTCTGTAGTGACATATGTGGGGTCACTACGGCGCGTGGCGTCAGTTGCAGTTCCATGGAGAACCAGGGTGTAAATGGTTCTTTCTGTCAGCGGCGTGTGCTGGGGCACCAAGAAGAGTCCATGAGGGACATGGCTCTGGTGAATGCAGAGAGGGGGCATGGAAGGACGAAATAGTCTGGGTGAACCCGAGAGGGCATGTGGCCGGACAGAAGAGGTAATGGGACACGTAGTGTAGGGTCCTCGTTCTGAAATGTTATTGTGTTTTATATGAAATTTATTTAAATATATCACATGTTAAAAAATTCTAATCTCACAGATTATATCTTTTTAGAGGCATGAAATAGTTGTGGATTTTATGGTGGCAGGGAAGGCCACTGTAGAGGATTCGGAACAGAATGTGTGTGTGACAGTTTTACATTGTTATGGAGCTCCAGGCAGTGGGACTTCATCAGCTGGATGCTATAATCATGCTGCAGGCTGCCATTGGTCATGCTGAACATGATATAGCTCTGTTGGTCAGTCAATAATATTGCACTGAACATTTAGAAGATCAATAATTCACTCTGATTTTAGGCAGAGGCAGCGCATATGCTACATAAAAGCCTATGGGTCACCTACCTGGGCGTTACCACCTTTGTGAATGCTATTGGAAGAAAACCATCACGTTTCAAGGACTTTTGTCTCATGGTCATTTTAATGAAGGTTTTCTCCCAACATAAGTTCAAAGGTCTGGAAGTTAGGAGTCAGCATGGCAATAAAAGAGCGTGATTTAAAATAGGTGAGCAAGAGAAGTAGAATGTCAGCCAAGAGGGCAGTTTGGTTACTAGAGGGAATAGTCTCATGCTCACACACATTACACCTTTTCTCATTGCGCTAACAAGCGTGCATTGTATTGCCTTGTACAACATTTTCTCCAATTCTTCCACGATACATTTGCCTGCAGTGTTTATTTAAAAACTCACTTTTGCATTGTGGTTGAAACTCCACCAGTATCGTGATTATACCAACTATAGTAACAGATGCTCACAATGTGCTGAAATGCCATAAAAAAATTCGGTTGAATTAGAGCGTTCTGCAATAAAAGAGAATTGATATTTAGAAAGGAGATGGGGATGTTAATTTATTTAAGTAAATATTAACTGAACATTTTAATTTAACGGAGAATACAGATTGGATTATAGCAGACTGGGAAAAGAATGGATGAATACAACCATATCCGTATTGCTTATTTATTATTAAAACATTCCAACATTATCATTCGTGTCCTAACTACAACATGCTAATACGAAACTGTTTTAAATAACCCATGCGCCGGTAGTTTTTCATGAAGACAATTTACATGAGAGCTTTGCTGAAAAAACCCCAATCCTGATTGCAGAATTTACATTGCAATCTTATATTACACCAAGTCTATAAACTATTTGCTACACTTTTAATTAAATTCCCATACAATACTTGTACCTGTATCTGTAACAACCTACACATATGCATAGAAATTATCCTTGAGAAACAATATACGGTGAACAAGATGGAAAAAGTATGTGTTAGCTCGTCAATAAACGTTAACTTTGCTTATAACAGAAGCTGTTTATTGTCATATATGTGGTATACTATGTTAGAAAAAGGGATTGGGCAAGATACAACTTTAGAAGGGATGGTGATCGATCGTTGTGAATTGGTATGATGCATTTAAGTAAAAAAAAAAATCTCCAGCCTGCTCTCGGCCATGCCTTGATATTATTTTGATTCTCATCCGTTCTTAACAACTGCCCTCGGTATACATACTCCCGTGTGTTGTCCAGTTGCATTCCTCCAACAGATTTTTGGCTCTTTGCAGCTCATACTTACCTTGAGCCACACTTGGTAGCTTCGTTTATTAATGTCTTTTATAATTTCCTGTAGTTTATTTACATTGGTTTTATAATGACTGTATCAGAAAATTTTAGATCGTATTTATTTTCTTCGTGTATATTCATGCTTTTATTATAGCGCCAAAAATTGCATTACCCTTTGGGAAATTAAAGCTTTTCGCCCCCCCCCCCCCCCCATTTTTACTGATCAACAGCATACTAATTTACGTGATCCAGTACGCTTACGACTCCACCACAAGTCTCTTTTAACTCTGCTGTGTTTTAGAATAGGCTGAATGTCGCACCTGTTCATGGCTCCTTCCTCTTATTTGTGAATTGTGGATAAAAGGTCGATCTGCAAATATTTGCAATAATTTCAGATACATCAGACCGTATGGATATTTTGAATTTATAGTTTAGTTAGTTACAAGATCTATGGGGAGGCCCCCCCCCCTCCCCACATTGCCACGGATTAATGGAGTTTGACTGCATGTAAAATTTATGTTCTAGCATGGTTATGACATTTCACTTGGTGTATATATTTTGAACACTTGCAAACAAGCTCATATTTCTTTGTTTGTGAAGCACGTTGGGTTAGTATATTGGACAATAATATATGTCAGGGTGTTTGTTATCGTGATATTTCAGGCATACTTGATTACATAATTGCGTACCGTATATGCTTCTGATAGCTTTTCAACCAGTGCAGTCGCTATTACAATGGCAAAGAGTACACTTATGCTGTAATTGATATGCATTTACTTAGATGTTAAAGCAACAACAACAAAATCCTGCGTATTTTTTTTTACTCCGCGAGTTTATTTAATGATAAACATTTGCAAAATACCAGAGGCTGGACTGTGACATGTTATTTGCATGTTTTAATACAATTCACTCAAATATATCAAATATACTACAAGCGTTGCTTGCAATTTAAAAATGACTCCCCTGGAGCACTGGGTTAGAGTTATTCATCTTAAGAGAAAATAAACAAATCAACTTCAGATAGGAAAGAGTATCTGAAAAGGTGTTCGGCCAATACCAATCTTAATATATTTATAAATAGCTTTACTACCCGGCTTCGCCCGAGACTTGGATTCTTGTCTTGGATTAATACACAGCCTACACGGAGGGTGGGGGGGGATGCGTGACGTCAACAGGCACACTGTGTGACGCTGCCGCATGCGGGTGACATGTGACGTCACCGCTCACTTGTCGTGCAAAATAAATCCATTATTGCGCCCCCCCCCAAAATACAAAAGTAAATTTTTATACTTGTGTGCAGTCTGGAAACTACCCACATGCCAATTTTCAAGTTTGTTGCATGTCGGGAAGTGTGCTAAATATTTCTAACAGACACACATTCACAAATTTCCCTTTTTTATATATATAGATAGCAGGGGCGGTTTCTTCATTAGGGCGATTGGGCGACGCACCACCAATCTCATCCAACCACAGAGTCACGCTAGCCGTCACTGTCAGCCTCTGGATATAGTCCAATCAGCGTCATGTCACGTTCTGTGGAGTACCGCCTCTTTTGGGGCGATTTCACTCCAGCTGAGAATCGCCCCGAGTGGCCCCATAGACTTACATTGAAAGATGTTTTTTTTCGAACGGGGGCGCTGCAATGCATTCTCTATGGCTTCCGGGAGGGCTCGCCCTAACGTGCTAACGTCATCATACGTAAGCACGTTTCATCCAACAATATAATTTATCGCTACCTAGTGGAATCTTTAATAAAATAAACTTGAGTGGTTTGTTTTAATAGTGAGTATAGAAACAAACAAGATGTATTGTAAGAGTCACTTTATTTTTCATTAATATTAAAGAAGTGAAGTTGCCTTTACATGCTTAAGCTGTTAATTTATCCATTGCATGGGTGGACCTTATCCTTATCAATCATCCAGACATTTGCCCCCCCTGAGAGATTTTGCAGGAGCCGCCACTGATAGATAGAAGATAAACTGCAATCATCAACTACACCTACTAACAATATTTAAATGCATGTATGCATAATTACATAATCAATTGCACCGGGTAGTTATGTACACACACTGTGAATTGTCTTTTTAGGCATAATTATTTACATTGTATTGATATGCATATTTAATTAAACTGTTATTATTGGCCATTTATATAATTAAAATACAATATAGAATATTGAATAATATGAAATCAAGTTTGCACAGCCTGCCTGCACTGCAGGAAGCTACAACGTAAGTCGTTGAACAATTGTTCCGTTTCCATTACTATGACATGTTCATGAAGAAAAGGTGTCACCTCTTTGAGTGGCCTTTTATGCTCATGGGTTTTGAGAAATGTAGATTTAAACCAAGAAGCTCAATGCCTACTCTCATATACAATCCAGTCGACATTGATCTGCTCTTCATGCTTGGGCGCAGTAGACAAAAGACTGATAACAGTTGTTATCTTAGCCACCCTGAGTTTCTCACTTTTTTGCGCGCCCCATTTGAAGTACATTTTTCAATTGTCATAAGGTTAGCCATGGTTAAGGGTGTCTGTGTTGAGTAGTCGAGACCTTAATTCTCAGCTTACGCATGCTGATTATTAATTGATTAATTCTGCCTGTGCTTACCAAGCAAACATTCTGGGCTTCAAATGCTTTACATACGGCAGTGTGGAAATATATATCCTATTTTTTTTCATAATGCTTACATAACCGCCTCTGAGCTGCCCAAGAAGGTAATTCACGATTGACCTTTAAACACATTTTTTTTATGCTGTGAACATCAACTCTTTGAAAGTGAACATTGTTGTTCTCCACTATATCCGTGGTTATATGGGCTCAAGAATGTCAATGAACTTGAGGAATATAAGCTAATGCACCAATACAGTCAAAGGTCTTTGAGGTAGTCAGCTTTTGTCCAAATGATATTCACCGGAGCGCTGAAAGCTGTCCAGACTGCAAGGTCATTGCGCAGTCCTGTCATAATGGCCGGCAGACCAGGCAAGGTCTCCCCTTTGTTCTCTCTTCGCCTCCTATGAGCGCAATCTGCCACGTGTGATTCTAAGGTTGCTCAAAAATTCCACAGCGAGCCTTTGGCGTACATGATGTTTATAACCGAGTCTGTGCCATTGGAAACGATGACGGGCCTGTGGCGGCACAATTCTTGGCTATACTGTGGACAATCACCATCTTTCTCTTCCACCGTACCCCTTGCTTGAGCCGCTGGTATCCATGTGTGCGGCAAGCCTGAAATCTTGACGGTGCCTCTGGCTCTGAAGCGCAAAATAGAGACAAGTCAATTCGATAGGACCACTTGGCAAGCTCGAAAATGTTTCCTACTTTGCTTGCAGCATATACAATTTGATGACAGAAAATTGCGTGCAGAGATATTTCACTTCACGTTTCTAATCTAAAAACTACCATCTTAAAGATTCCCGCAATACAATTCTAGGATTACATATTGAGATCTAAAGAAAAGGAGTCTGTCAATTAATGTGTCAGCATTTGTAAGGCACTTGCCAAGCTATCATAGACACCTATTATATTTGTCATCCATTGTATATGAAGAACTATTCACACGTCACATTTCCTTAATTTATGATTGACTTTGCAAAGTGACATTTGCTGCATGTATGGGGATTTAAGCGTTGCATATTGTAAGCATCAACATTTACACGCGGATTCAGTTGAGTTTATTTACGTGGATTCCTGAAACGTTACAATTTCCAGCTTTGAATGTGTTTTTATTGCTCCTTACATTTTTTCAAAAAGTTCCTTTGCCACTGCAGTTACTGTATAGACGAGGACGCTACACTAGGTTACAGAATGTTTTACCACAAGAGTCCCCACGGCAAATTCCAGTCAGGAATAAGACTGCTTTCTTTTCCTCCCCCTCTATGAATTTGACCATGACACCAATGTACGATGGCCTACCTATTATTGCAAAACATAAATAAAATTAAAGGTAAAGAATGAAGCGTACACAGCAGGATGATCAACGTCCTTCTGTAGGATTGTGCACATAAGGCAATGTATCTTTAAGACATCAGCAGGACTGAGGTGAATGTGCTTATTTCAACAAGTTTTAGGCCTCAGAGGCTCGAGAAAACATGCTGTCGCCAAGCCCAACAGTAATGGAGAAACACAAAAAATATATATATTCTCAGCATTCTTTGTTTCATTGTTTCCCTTGAGGCTTTAAAAAAAAAAAACAACCCAGTAAAGTAAACCTCATGCGACGGTAGATATGAGACTTATTTTTCTGAAGTCTGTCACGAAAAAAACTTGAGAACCCTATTCATGCAGTGTAATGTTATGGAGCGGCTGCAATTGATTGTGCACGATTTTGAGATAATTAACAGTGGACGGGCCTCATTGGATTTTGCAGCGTCGGTCACGTATCGTGTTATAAAGCAAAACAATAAAATACTGTACCTTTAAACATTTACGAAAATTCAATTTTAGTTTTTCAATTGCTTAAATTAGTTTAGTTTTAAGGCACAGATTAATGTGAAACTGTGGCAGATATACACTGCCTATAATTAAGCTATCTTGTCATTCCTGGAGAATAATTGACATGCTGCACAATATAGAACTCAAGAACAAATGCTGCTCTTGTAGATGCACTATAAAATATTAATGAATTATTGTAATGGGTCTCTACTTCCCTCTCAGACAAGGTCCAGATGGAGGTAAGTGCAACCCCACATGTAGGTTAATGAAGACATCTTTTGTTGTTGTTAACAGGCGCGCTTGGCATAGTTGAAGCTGGGTTGGTGCCTTGTTTGGTTAAAAAATTGCGCTCGGAGTTGAATGAAATCTGCGAGCTAATTCTGGACACGCTGGACTTCTGCTTGGCCGTGGATACGAAGCAAGCGCTTGAAGTCGGGGCCGTAGATGTGCTCCTCACATTGCTTCTTCATGAGTCTGAGCGGATACGTGCCAAAGCAGCCCGTGCTACGATGAACATTACGTAAGTGCTGTGCAACAACGGTGTTATATATTGCATTGAGTGCATTTCAGACGCTGTCTCCCCGACAGACCTGGTCTTCACCTGAGGACGGCTGCTTGCGTTGTGGCCGAAACGTCGTGAGAATTATTTTATTATGTTTTATTTTTATTATTTTATTACTTCCCTTCTACGTGACTTTACCGAAAGAACCAAGAAGATGAATCCCTGCAGTCACGAAAGCTTTAAATCGAAAAATTGCATTTAAACCGTTTGCGTGCACGTGTGTCTGTGTGTATATATATTTTCTAACGGTGAGGGCACCGCGTCTGCGAACCCAGCGAGCCCAGTTCAATTCCTGCTCACGGCCAACACCAGGTGCCTCCCCTCGGTCGACTCAAATGAGTACCTGGTGTGGTGTGTGAACATAGTAAAATGTTTTTTTTTCTATAAAAATGATTGTAATGGGCACTAAATTGGTAAAGATAACAATAACGAATGAATTTACAATTGAGATGCTAACAACCACGTCCGGGAACTGTTGCAATATGCGTTCTGAAACTCAGTCTGGACAAGCACAACATAAACTTGAGTTCACCTCATCTAATAGATTTCATGTTTGTTGGTTACAGCCAAGTCATAGACGATTTTACAAAGAACTTGTCAGGAGTACAGGAGCAGTACAAAAATAGACTTTGCAAAGCAGAAATAGCTGCGAATCCAGCAACACATGGTTGGAAGATCAATGATGCATAGGCGGAAAGGTGCATGGATATATACACTATATCAGTACACAAAAGATAAATGATAATGCTGCATTTCAACCATAAATATTTCATACTTGTGTTATGATGTGTAAATGTGATTTAATAAAAATAGTGGTAATGCTTCGAGCACTGAACTGGCAATGAGGAGATCGCGGAATCCAATCTACAAAGCCACCTGTGATTTAACCGGGTTTTCAAGTGTAGCAAATTGATGGGCTCATCCAGTTACCAATGATTGCACGAAAACAAAAAAATTGTAATATAAAATTGGGATTTTCACGTAATTTTGCAAAATAAATTCTGGCGCAAGGAAATTTCTTTTTTTCATCAATTTCACGGCCATTGCAATGAATCTTTAGTGCAACTAATGGGGATATAAAGGCCTTTTTAAAGGATCTCAGAAGTAGTTCTCTGATGGCAGCTTCAACGGGTTGTTCTATAACACAGAATAATGCATTACTTTGCGAGAGATCTGAATGGATACCTTGCCTCATGACATAATACCAACAGCACAATTAGAATAAAATAAAACAGGGCAAAGTAGACAGAAGCAGCCGTAATGAACAATTGTATTAATATTATAAATGAAACACCTACTAATGAGAGTATATTGGAAACATACACATTGTTCACTCTATGCAGTGGCCGATGTCTGGTGTTGGCAGGGTAATTTGTTTTGGGGTACAAAATGGCAATATATATGTACACAAGTATAACCCTTTGGAAGAAGGCCTTTGGAAAAGGGCTACGGGGATAATTTACCATACTTCATCACACTGGGCAGTGAGGGTTCGTGAAGGCGGAGAGCACAGAAGTACAGTACAACAATGCATTTAGCTGCACTGTTCTCTCTCTGCTGTCCACCATGCAGATCCACATTTCATCACCTATAACACCAGTTATGCGTCGTTCAGACCTGCTTAGCTGCTGAAATCTGATGAGATTGGGTGAATTCTGGATTATTTGGTTGCAGTCTTTCAAATTACTATGTAGACATCATATGTAACGCATTTTACTGTCGTTATTACATATAAAATGCTCTCTATCATTAACAAAGCAATACCGATGAAATACTGTATCTGGATATGAAATAGCAATATTTAACTATTGCTGTCTGTATTTCGCAGAGTATCTCTAGAAGGCAAGAACCAAGCTTGTGATAAACAATTGGTGCCCATCCTCGTTGGACTTCTATCTGACTCTTCGACTGATGTGAGGGGAAATGCAGCTGGTGCTATCATGAGCATAGCTGTCACAACTCAAGGTGACATATTTCTCATTCCTTGTTTTGCCAGTGACACATCTCTCTTTAAAATTGTCATTGCACCGATGCAATTTGTGCTCTTAATTTCCTCATCCGATTTTTGGTTCAGCTATTCAGTGGCACTGCCTTGAAATCCCCAGTTCCTTATTATGATTGCAATTCCAAAATTGGCGTGGCTGCCATTGGTTCTAAACAAAAAATACATTTGTGTCATGTGTATACTTATGCAGTATATGCTGTACAGTACGACGTTGCATATCCAAATCACTGGGAACTGAGGTATAGGCAGACATAAAAGAACAGTTTACTTCGTGCACGTATTTGTTACTAGACAATAATGAAGCACAAATTGTGTGAAATAGTTGGATTTGGCAACGTCTATAGAGAGTGACAATCCTACCAGGCAGATACTGAATTAGTTGTGGGAGGTTAATTGGTGAGGGTGCATTTGTGACGGTTAAAATGTGACATTGTAAAGCATATACATTTCATAATAATAGGTTTTTTCCCCTTTTTTCTGGCAACAAAACTGAAACCTTTTTACAAGGAAAGGCAAAGGAGTACTGGAAAAGGAGGCCTCATGATGTAAATGCTTACCCCGAGCCCTCATTACTCTGATAGTGCGTTGTCTTTGAGTTGTACGCCTTTTGGTGTCATCTGGTCGAACACCGTATGAGACTAGGCTCTAAGGAAAGCTGTCTCTGGTGTGGACCAATCAATTTCAAGGACAATGCATACATTATCAGAGTGTGGGTTTTGTTTGCATTCTGACCGCAGGTATTGTGGTTAATGTAAACATGATTCATTGTAAAATAAGGTTTCAGTTTTGTTGCCAGAAAAAAGGGGAAAAAACCTATTATTATATTTTGGTACTGCAGGCGGTTGTGGGTTCAATCCCAACCCTGACGCCTGTATATTTGGAGTTTGCATGTTCTCACCGTGGTCGTGTGGATTTTTCTCTGGGTCCTCCGGTTTTTCCTTCCACATTTAGGAACATGCTTTGAGAGTGTTTAGAGTATTTGGCGACTATAAATTTCCATGCAATAATCCACCACGTTGACTAGTGATTTGTGGCCAGGTCGCTTCTGAAAAAGGGCTATATATAGCTCAGTGGGCCTTACCTGGTAAAATAAAATCAGTTTAGTTTTTGTTTGCATGTGAAACAGCTTGCGGTTTAGTGTATTGTTATTGAGGAAGCAGGTTTCAAAGACCTTATGCCACACACCACTTGCTGCTAATCAAGGCTCCATTTTTATTTCGAGCTTGTCACATAGATGTGGGTAAATCTGATAAATTTGGAAATATTGTGTAAGTACTAAATTATCTAATTAGTAAATTATGATACATGGTATTGGTATCAGTGGTCTCTGCCCTGCATGCTTGAATGTGTAATTGGCATACATATATGTTTCAATGTGATAACACTTATACAGTGTAACATATGGTTGTTTCAATAAAAACAATGCAGTACTATTAGATAGAAAAAAAATGGAACATGTCAACTGACACTACTTTAATACGGATAATATTCAACAGAAACTGGCAGCTACACAAAAGTGCAGATGTGGTACCATATGTGTATAATTGCCTCCCATCTTGCCAATTCCAAAATATACACACTGCATGTGTACAACTGTAATTTGCCTATTGTGAACATCCACAACAATAATACATCATCATTTACATTAATGGTTCATAAATGCCAGACCTCATATGCCACTTAATTTAGATTTTTTTATGCCATTTAATTTAAAATTGCCTACAAAATATTACACAACATATTTTTTTGTATTTGGATTGGTGGAATAGGGTAGGATTATAAAGTATAAAGATGATCAGTTGGGATTAAAACAAGAGCAAATATAGATACAGCAAGCGAGTGGTGCCACAGTTTGATAGACAACACCGTCTTTTTTTACTCACATTAAATTATTGCGATAATACACAACAGTACGACTCTTCTCTTTTGCGATTAAGATTCAAGAGAGATACTACTTCTACACTCACGTTTCTGATCCGGACGCTAGGTGACTGGCTTGACTGACACATTGTGTTGTTACAGGCAAGTATGCAGCCCTGGGGGCCGAAGCAGTGCATCCACTTGTGGAACTGGTGACAGATGGACGAAGTGAGGTGCGTCTCAACGCCATCAAAGCCATCACGGCCCTGGCAGAGGCCCCAGAGGGACGCGAGGCTTTGCTCCCCAGCGTGTCCTTGCTGGGAGGGTGCCGGAGCGATGCGAGTGCTGCCGTGGCGAACGCGGTCGACATTGCTCTTAGAGTCATCACCTGGAGGCCTTAGCTGGCCCAATGATGGCGCCACGGGTCCTTCGTTTTAATTTGTGATGTTATATTTAGCTTTGGTTTGTGAAGAAAAAAAATCTTGCGTTGAAATTCTTAAGGGTTCAGAACATTGCGTGAATTTTTTTCGGTGCAAGTCAGTTACAACTTTTTTTTTTCAAGTAAAAAAATGGGGTTCTGGTTTGTTTACTTAAATTTTTTGACAAGTGTTCCGTTTACCCTATGGTTACATTAAAATGTACAGGAATTACCCAGTCGTTTGCATTATTTATTGGATGCAACTGAAGATCAGAGTACAAAAATGCATATCATTTAATGTCACAATTTGAGGCATAAAGAGTCTGCTGGCCTTCAGCGATTCACGCTCAAGACAGCAGTCAATGCAGTCAGAAATGCTTTTATACTAATTGCCTCATCAGCAGTCTGCACGAGCTTTATTTTTTTCAATGACTCACCCAGCCATGACGACCAGAGGAAATTGCTTGGCTATAGTGCAGATTGTGGAGGACAGTAAAAATAATCATGTTTGGGCCAAGAAGGAACTGCAGATTTTCATTGGCTCTTTGGACTGCTCATTCCTATGCAAGGACTTTGCTCTCTCTGCATGAAATGATAGCCAGGATGAGCACTTCGGAAATCTTGCGAACTCTTACAGAAATGCTGTATGTGAGTTGCATATCGGATGCATGGGAGCACATCGCTTCAGCAAGCCATCTGCTGCATTGCTTGTGAAAAAGCAATGCTTTAATCGATTCAGCGAAATATCCACAAGCCATGTAGAGCTGTATTATAAATTACTGATATATGCAGTAGCTTTCAACGTTGCTGTTTTTTTAATACACCACCTGCAGCTTTACTATAACTTTATATTATTTATTGAAATTCTATTTGCTATTTTCTAGTGTTTTCAGAAAAAAGGGATAGGGCAGTTGGAGATTGAAAATACATTTTTTTGGCTTGCCTTAAGCCAGCCCAAGGCTATCAGTGTCCAAAGCATGGTGCTCCCTCTTGGGATAAAATTAAACAACACAGTACTTTGATGCGTTTTATTTTGATTCCTCCGAACCCACCATTCATGTGATAATATGCCTACAGTACTTCATTTATTTAATTGGCACGTGTGTTAATGTTTCGTGTTTAAACTCTATAGGCATATTTAACGAACTCTCAAACATTAAATTACTCATGGAAAACAGAATTAAATCTAAGTTGGCAATATGACTATAACTAATTGATTATTGTCTCACAGACATCTGTTAACAATCACTAATAACAGCCAAATTATATATTGCATATAAGGATTACAAAAACGACTCGTACAAACCATGCATTCAACTGTTGTAAAAGTATGGTCGACAAATCACAATATAAGTGTGACCTTAAGGTAAAATGACAATTTGCTGTTCTCACCTGTGTCAGCATGGCAGGTACAAAGTTGTTTTGGGAATTATTGTTCTGAGGTAAGGGTTTTTTTCCTTCCAGTTTTTTTTCCATAGCAAGTGACTATAAATCCATTCTAGAACTTCCGATAGCAACAGAATTGTGCCACACTCTAGGGAATTACCCCCCCCCCCCCCACCAAAAAAAAATGTGAGCACAATCTTCAAAAAGTCTACATCCACTATATATCAACTGTGAGGGTGAGTAGTTCCTCCTGAGTTATTGTGACGGTATTAGAGGAGTATTTTGGAGCAATCATCGTTAGATGGGCTCAAACCATTCAAGGCTTGCTTCCCATACATGTTAGGTCATAACTCTGACATTGACATTCGCCTTCCTGAGCCACCCAGCTACCTCATCTTTCGATGTTTAATATTGAGTCAATAGCTCAATGCTATTGATTGCTTGAATGAATGCTGTGACACGTTACATGACATACATTTTTTGGTATTTTGGGCGTAAAAAGTACATTATTCATTCGCGGTGTAGGTTTATTATTGTAATACTGTTTAAAATTGCGTCAGGCATGAAAAATGAATACCACGGTGACATTTTTTATTTAAAAAAAAGTCTTAGAAGAACCAAAATAGCATTTTTCGAATTCTCATTGAAGCCTCTAAAATACAGCGGCCATTGTACTGTGTATATATATATATATTTATGTTTACTCACTCGAATATATGTAGTAAGGGATTTCTCCTTTTGGCGTGTATATTTGATGGGGGAATTGTGTGCAAATTACAAGATGAACTGAATTGGAGGCATAGCTTAATCTAATAAGGCTGTCTTAACACTTTAATGACGTTTGTAATAAAATAACATTTTGCAGTGCGAGAAACATCTCTTCTAGACGCAGATGGTGGTCTTCTGGGGAGTGTAAGCTACACAAATGTTAACATAAATAAAGCTATAACAGCTACAGCAACGACAACAATTGTCATTAAGACTCCAAATGTAACTGAAACTCGAGACTGCACAAAGCAGAAGGGACACCAACTGTAGACAGAAACCATGGAACAAACGAGGGAAGCATGGGGGAAAAAAACAATGTGCTATCTGGCCAAGGGGATGCGGTGTGAGAATGGGGACGCACGGCAACACAGGGTACGATGCAGGGTCAAACAACCCACAAATGAGTCTCAGAGGAGGCCACAGGGGCATCTGGATTGCCGGGGCCGATAATCAACGAGTCCCAGGGGAAATTAGGGTCAGGGTGCAATACCAGTCCCAAATCCAGAATCAGCGAGGCCCTTTGAGTTCCAGGGAAGTCCAGGGGTGCCAGAGTCCAGCACCAACGAGACCAAATAGGAGTCCTTGGGTACCATGGGACTGTGTTAGTGAGCCCCAAGGGAAACTTTGGTTGCCAGCTCGGGTTGCCCCAAAAATACAGCACGTATCATGCGAAAGAGGAATATCACAAAAACGAGAGGGAGAGCCACATTTAAATGTAATTACATTGTCGTGAGTAATGTATTATTCGGCAACTAACAAAAAACTGGCACTTTTAATATCCCCGGGAAGACTTCCCAGCACAGCTACCTCAAAAACAGAATTATCCTGGGAAAACCAGGACAAGTGACAGTGATATTGTCATGGCCCAGGACCAAAACACCCCTGGGGAGCAAGAGTGACACAGGGGATTGCAAACACCGATGGAAGTTGGGAGGAAACAGGCACAGCCAGAATGTGGTAATCTTGCACCCCAATGTTTTTTGAAACTGCGTCTGTGTATGCTCTTTTGTGCGTGAGTTGGTGGTGTGAGTGTTTGCATGCATGCATGCGTGTGAGAGCGTGGTGGTGATGTGAGAGTGGTCCTTGGATTTCCACTTATTGACCCTGAACTAAAAAATAAATCATTATTCTTGTTACATGGCTGGGTGGTAGTGAGGTTGGAGGACCTAACTCTGAATTGGAAATCTGTGAGTACAAATCCCACTCAGGGGTTTCCTTAGCCTATCATCCCTCTTTGGGAAGTGAACAGTGATTTTCCAAATGGGGGACTGACCCCCACCATGGGAATGTGGAATTTCCAACAATGGCTCATGGTCATTCATCGAGATGGGTGCGTCTCCATCGTTTTTCGAATTGGATGCGATTCACATCGTTTGGTGGATGTTTGGAGGATCTGTAAAAAACGTGGCCTACTCATTCCTATTTACAGCTTCAACTTGGAGCAACCTTGACAGATCCACCTGAGATTCTCAAAAGGAGTTTCAGCCAATGGGGTCGTGGACATCGGTACATCCCAGTGCCAAAACGAGCGCATTAAGGTGGGGCATGGAACATCCAATGGGGCAGGGCTTGTGCTAACAAGGCTTTATATTGTCACATCCACCGTAGTCTCACGTGACACTAATAAAACACAATAGTGCCATATATTATAACCTGGAAAGCTTCAAAGAGTGTCAGGACTTTTTGGACACAAAATTTCAAGGGAGTGTTTTTCCTGCTCTCGTGCATTTTAATTGTGCCTTAGTCTGGCTTGATGAGATCTGAAAAGTAGTATGATTGCATTTGTCTCTCTGCTTCTACCTCATTGTCTTTATTTTCTCCCGCAGCCTTTCTTCCTCTCTGCTATCACCGTGTGCTCTATGCGTTTGTGCCTTTTTTACTCTATCACATAAACTCTAACTCTACCACTTTGCTATTGAATAGTGAGTTACACCTTGCCTGCTATTCAAGCTACAAATCCTCTAGCTAACGGCTGGAGGATTTCCAGGATGTAAATTGCGACTACATTAAAGTTGAATCATTCTGTCAGGTAAAGCGCCTTTTCGCGTAGTGACCTTTTATATATATTTTAAATCCAACAGCTTTAACTTGGGAGATGTAAATTAGGCACAGCTATTACATGCCCTTTGCCGTGCCCTTTCCACACCCACCTTGGCTGGTAGATCACAAACGAATTCAGCATCACCTTCTGCCGGCAGTTCTAGCCGATACATGAATTCGGCTTACATTCACCTGGTGGATATGATCCCAATTCACACCCTTGCACCTGTGTTTGGCTGATTCATGTCAGAAAGGAGCGAGCTGCCAGATCTCTAGGGCCCTCTATAAACGTGTGAATAGTGCCCTTTGTCTTTGATTTGATTTATTTACAAGTTGAGTAGCAACAATAAACACAACAATATGTACTACCGGCTATCCATGCCGTTCTCGTAGCACAAGGTTGTCATGTAGGCGCTATGTTTCACAGACGGGTGTAATCTGTGGGAGATTTTTGCCAAGGACTGTTAGCCCAGTGAAGTAATTTGTGGGTTATTTCAAATTTGGCATAATGTATACCCCATTCTCCCAGTATTGTAATCATAATAATACAATTTAGTATTTTAATTACTCAATCATGATATAAATAGAGATAGATCCTGTATCAAGGATAATTTGACATCACCGGAAGCACCCTTCCAATGTTCAGCAACTATTCTTACTATATATAAGTTTAATTCATTTGAACATTTTTATATAAATATATTATTCTAATCATGCTACTGAAGCCAGAAAACATTTCAAAAGTGGTGCTATTTTAAATCTGTCTTAAACAATAAAGCACAACATAACAAAAATATAAAGAGTGTCATAATTTGTTTGATCTTAAATAATAATAATAATTATATTCCATCTTAATTTAACCGAAAGTGGTATATTGGCACAGAGTGAAAAAAAATCTACCTTTTCCATCATCACTATCTTACAACTGGAAAAGAAAGAACAGCTCTCCAAAATAGTGTCCTATTACTGCGTGTTGAATATGTTTTTATTTAGACAGTGGTAATGACAAAGGTGTGGATATTTTTTATTTTCCATCTG